TAATTAGGTGATATATTTGCAATAGAATGTAATGCATTCTGTTGCAAATAGAATTTTGCAAATTCTACATGCATGAATGTAGTGCATGTTGTAGTGCAATTTTGTCATGGTTTAAACCCAGACGGCAACTCAGTACCACACAGTCTCTCGCTCACCCCCCTACCCTTTTCCCCCCAAGGTGGGATGGGAGAGAAGAATCAGAAGAATGCAAAACCTTACACGTTGAGATACAAACAGTTTAATAAAGTACAATATAATACTACTAATAATAATGTCAAGGGAAATAACAAGGGGACAGAATATAAAACTAAAAGGGGAAATAAAAAAAAACACAATAAACCCTAAGTGATGCACAGTACAATTGTTCACCACCCTCTGAATGATACCCAACCCAACCAGAACAGTGATCAGTCCCTTCCAGGTGACTCCCCCCAGTTTATATGCTGGGCATGACATACTGTGGTATGGAATACCCCTTTGGCTAGTTTGGGTCAGGTGCCCTGTCTCTGCTGCCTCCCAGCCTTTTATGCCCCTCCTCACTGGCATGAGACTGAAAAGTCCTTGATCAGGGTAAGTGCTACTGAGGAACAACTAAAACATTGGTGTGCTTTTAGCCTTGTTCCCAGACTAAAGGCAAAGCACAGCTCTGCACCAGGTACTAGAAAAAACAAAACAAAACACAAACAGAACACCATCCCCCACCAACCACAACAAAGCAAACAAACAAAAAAGAAGCAAAACAAACGAACAAACAAACCCCCACAAACCTGTTACAGCTGAAATCAGGAAAACTTTCCCAAGCAGAACCTAAGCAGTACATATCCCATAGCTGAAGAAAATGGAGGAGCGACTGCTTTCAGCTGAAACAATTACTGCCCCATAGAAATAAGCCAAGAAAGCATTATTTCTTCTAAACCCTCTTCATATACATTACATTAACACTCCACAAAGAATAGTAGCTCACTCTTTCTCGGTTGGGGCTGCAGCTGATACTGCCTCCACTCCTGAGCACAGAGGAGCCAGCTAATCCTGTTCAAGGATATCCTCTGACCACAAAAGCTGGTTTGCATTCTGGATCCCCCTCAGCTGACTTCAGCCTTTCCTTCCCAGGGCTGACTTCCATAGCGAGATCTCACAGATACAAATTTGTTAATCATAGCAATGGGGGCTCTACTTTTGTAGTCAATCCCCCCACCCTGATCCAGGACACCATGCACCATACTGGATGTTTTGTTGATGTTCTGCTCTCAGGTACCAAGCACTTCGGGATAAACACCCAATTAATAACCTCATCCTCATGCAGCCTCTTTAAATGCTTTCAGATGTAACAATTTTGAACACATCCTTCAAAAATCACGTTTCTCATTACCCTTTCAGACAGGGTCATCTTAACTATGGAGCAGGATGAGTGAGGATTTCCAGGACATCCACGTGTAATCAAACCCAGCTCTGCAGAAAGAGAGCAATTTTCAGGAAATGGGAAGCTGAAATGCTAAACAGTTTATATAAAACCCAGCAAATCTCTTTTGGGCTGAGACGGTAAGCAGAAAGAAAGCAGGTAGGAGGACTTGACAACAGAATCCCTGGAGAACCGCAGGAACACAATGAAGAACTGCTGCGATTCAAACTCTAATCCCTGGCCCAGCTGCGTCCTTGAAGCTATGCAGGTTAAAACTACATGTTAAAATTCAGACTTGGTTCAAGTAGTATGACTGAGGAAACAAGCCTCTGTTACAAGTTTGAAATAGCAGGTGACATTCAAGTTTGGCCTAAAATACAGGAAGATTTTAAGTCTGTACCTATATACACCTAAGTCTATACACATACCCTCTTGGTCCCCATTTGTTTCCTCTTGAGTTTCTGTGGAACCTCCTACATGGCACAAAAAAATTAGCTGCCAAGCAACAAGTAACAGCTTCCCGATGGCAAGTCTTGCTGAGCAGGGAGAATTCCCACTCTCAAATGCCCTAAGTAAACAGTGCAAGAGAGTTCTATATGAAGAGACATAACGTTCTTTTCTTGTTTAAGGAAAACAAAACACACTTCCCAAAACCCCAGCCTATGCAGCAACAACCACTTCCCCCCCGGACACACACGGTAATAGCTGCAATTTAACTTGTCAGAAGCACAGTCAACATAACTAGTTACAACATGATTCAGTTTGGTTTTTTTCATGCAGTGCAAGTGCCTCAGCAACCATCCCACACCTCCTCAATAAGCAATACCCAAAGGGCTGCCCAAAAGCAACTGGAGCAACATGCTTTTGGACAGACAAGTAGTACTGGCTGAACTAGTCACACAGACTTACCAGGGTGTAGTCTAACAAAATTATGCACTGAATTTTTATGTGAAAAAAAAACCAAAACAAAATTAAAAAACAAATGAAAAAAACCACCACACAGCCAAACACAGCACCTATGCCTTTTAAATTATGAAAAAAAGTTAAAATAATTCCATCTCCAGCAAGTTGGGAAGCGTTACCACAAAGCTTCACCATTTTCATGTCTCTGCACGTGTTTACATCTATACCTTTGGTATGATTTTGCTTGCTTTCTGTAAACACAGCACTACTAGACCATTGGAAAAAAACTGCAACTGCAAGCTATCGACACTGGATGAAGATTTAAGACCACTTTTGTAATGGACACAACAGTTATGTTTGCAACATTAAACTTGGAAGGAAAGCAAATCATCATCTATTGTCTTGGAACTGCCTATCCACAGTTTGAAGCCCAGCTACTTATCTCACAATCTGCCTCTGCCTCTTCCTGTGTTACCCTCTTCCCCGTATTTTTCTTCCCTTTCAATTTTTGCCTCATATCTTGTTTATTAATTTGTAGAGAAGAAACTGCACTTATTATAGCCAAGTGTAATACTTCTTAATATCAGTTTAGGATCCTAAATCCATTCCTATTTGTTTTAGCAGTATTCTTTCCTTCCCTCTGAACTATCCCCTACAACAGCCCCTTGTTCATCTAAGCTTGTTCACCTGCACTTTTCTAATGATCTTTATTCCCAAAGCTGGTAAAAGAACATCACTTAGTAACAGCTCAGAAAACAAAAAATGCATCCCATCTACACCAGCAGAGTTCTGCCCCAAAGCCCAACAAAACTTATTTCCAAACGTATGTGCTATCAAGCCATTATTACAAGTCTCTGTCTTTTCTTGGGAGGGCAAAGGGAGCACCAGCCCTCCCTCCAATACAGTGGTCTTCTTCTATTCTTTCTCTGCAAATACTAGAGTTTTAAATAGGCAGAGGCCATTCCATACTACTGCCTTGTAACTTTTCACTACTACTAAAGAAAGGGGCTTTTGAAGAAAATACAGTAGCTCACCTTGGTCTACAAGAAATGAAACAAACCTCTTTATTTCTACACCCACACCCCATTGCCTGCCTTCTGAGCATGCAAAATGCCCCAGACATCCTGTATTCTCTCAGGGAAATTAGAAATTCCGGAACAAAAACCACCACAAGAACACTCCAAGAGACCGGAATCTGTTCGTGTGCTCTCAAGTGGACGAGGCGCAGGGTCTGGTGCGAGGCAGAGCAGAGGCTGGCTCTACGGCTGCTGCCTTCAGCCGCCAAGCCACAGCGATGCGCGCCTCTAGAGCTGGACAGGCAACAACCGGGGACCGATCCAGCCCCAGCCACACTTCAACACCAGTTTGCCAGCGAGAGGTGCCGCTGCCCCGGTGCAGGCAGCCAGGCCGGGCCGGAGCCCAGCACGGCAAGCAGGCGCGCTCGGCTGCCCGAACCGCACGCTATTGCCACCGCGTGCTGGGCACCCCGTCCCCGGCTCCACCCGCCCTCCAGGCCTCCCGAGCCAGTCTCCGCCGGTGGCCGGACCCGGCAGGCGCCCAGACCCCTACCCGCTCGCCGGGCCCCGGAGAGCCACGACGCCCCCTCGCCTGCCATGTGCCGGCTGCGCCGGCGGGGGCGGGGCCCGCAGCCCCTCCCCGCACCCGGTAGCGGACCCGGCCGCGGCCCCGGCGGCGGAAAGTGCTGATTCAGCCCCCGCCCCCCACCCCCGGCGGCGCTGCGGGTCGCGGCGCCGGTACCTGAGGCTGTGTACCAGCTGCCGGCGTGGCTGGCCTCCCGGCAGAGCACCCGGTTGGACATCTTGGTGCCGGAGCCGCCTATGGTGTTCGGGGGAGGCGGTGGGGGACGGGCCCGGCCGCGGCGGCGGCGCTGCTCCCCCTCCTCCCCCGGCACGGCCCGGGCCCCGCGGGCGGAGGCGGCGCTGCCGGCGGCGCCTCCGGGCGGGCGGGCTGACGGCGAGCGGGAGGGGGGCGCGCGGAGGCGGCGTGCGGAGCGGCGTGGGCCGGGACCGCGGTGCCGGGCTCGGCCGCAGGCGGTGGCCCCGCGGGGGGCGGCGCGGGCCGGGGGTGCGGGGACAAAGCCTGAGGCCGCCGCCAACTCCGCGCTGGCTGGTGGGGGGGACGCGAAGAGAAGGAGGCCGCGGCAGCAGCTGGGTTTGGCCCGGCCCGGCTCCCGTGGACTAGAGGCCGCACAGGAGCCGCTCCCCCATTGGGCACGAAAGGAAAAGCCTCGCCGCCATTGGCCACCCTCCTCGCTGATCCCGCCCACCTCTTTGACAAGCCCGAAATGGAGCGGCACCGCCTCGTGGGGGACGGGGACCAGAAGGCGGGGTTCGGAGACGGAGTCCTGTTCCGATTGGCTGGCTGCGTTGCCGTGGGAATCGCTTCTGGCCGCGCTGATTGGCGGGGCTGTGTCTCCGTGGTGGAAGGGAAGATTACGAGAGCAGGTCAGACAAGGGAAGGTATGGCGGGGGGGAAAGCTCAAGCTCCGCCCCGGCCCCGTGTCCCCCAGCCCCGGCATGGTGGAGGGGGCGGTGGAGGTGGCGGTGGCGGTGGCGGTGGCGGTTCAGGGAGCGCCTGAGGCCAGCGGGAGTCCCCCATGGGAGCCCCCCGCCTGCGTGGCTGGGCGCGGAGCTCCGCTGCCCCGCTCTCCATCGGGGCAGGAGGTGAAGGGGTCGGTGTTGTCGAGAGCGAAGCGGTGCTCTCTGGTGCCGGGGGTTTCCCCCTTGCTGTGAGGAGAGTACTGTGCAGCCTCCTCGGCTTCCCCCAGGCTCGGCTGGGACTGTAGGACCAGGTCCGATTTCGAGGGACGGAGCACGTTTCCCAAAGGCAGGGGTAGAGAGAATAGGGAGTGCGCTGGGCGGAAGGTCCTTGCTTTCCAGCTAGCACAGTTCCTTTCCGGCACCTCACGTATGTCGTCGGTACCGTGTCCTGCAGCGAGGGCTGCGGGAGTGCCTTTGTGTGGAAGTCTCCAATTCCTATCCTTCACTTTTTAATCAGCTTGGTGAATTTCTCCGTGGTGCTGCCACGGAGAAATCAAGCACAGCTCAAAATAGCTAATAAAGCAGAAGTGGGAAGGAGAGCATAACCAGTACAAAAGGGACGAAGGGAAGAGCAATTTTAGCTACCGATGTATGAGATGCACCCAGGAGAGACGGAGGCCTCAGCAGGAGCAATGAGAGATTGCAGCCATGAAAGTATTAAGGCAGAATGATGCTTTGTGAGCTGGAAGATACTAGGGCTAGGCCAGGAAACACATTCCCCTTTTCCTCCTTAGAGATTTTATTCTTCATAAAGTCCTCCAGCCAGTTATAAATGCATGCAAAATACAGAGCTTGTGTGTGTGAGTGGTTTAGTTGAGTTATGTGGGTTTGTTGTGTTTTTTTAAGCAAAGGAGATGAGAGGGACAAAGGCATTGTTTGCAGTATGTCTTGAAGATCAAAAAGGCTCGTGCTGTAGAGGTGCGGCTGATGTCACTTTTATCAGTCAGGACCCTCCTCTGCACCCATGACACTGGCCTCCCAGTGCAGCTGGGGGGCAACAAGGACTAGGATCTTCAAGTAATAATATTTGTAATGGGTTGCCATGCGGAAATGGAGCCTGACTACCCCAGAAAATGCCTAACGTAGCCTTCACTGCTCTATCTATCCTTATATTATTCCATTGTTCTTCTACAAATAGTGTGTTGGAAAAGGTTAACATGGATTATAACGCTGCCTTGACTGGAAGAACTATTTGTCAATAAAGCCTGACTGCTGTAACATAAAACTATATTGGCAGTTGTGATACCCATTTGTAACTCTCAAGTCTTTTACAGTACAGATCTTCGGTACTGGGAATAGTTCCGGAATTTGCTGCTCATTCCTCAACAAAGTTAACTAAAGGCAGCAGATGATAAATTTTACTCCTTGGAGAAAAACAAACGTTGTGATTATGGACTTACAGAAAGGTCAAGCAACATACAGCTCAAGTTTTAGATGAACCAGTGTCCCACAATCCACCAGGAAGAGTTAGAGGAGGCTGCTAGAGAAAACATCTTAGGGGAACTGGAGGTTAAAACAGTTTTTAGTTATCTGGTATTCCTCTCTACCATTTAGAGGAAGAGCTTTCACATAATAGAAATCAAGGCAGCAGAAACAGAAAAGCAGGCTGCTTTTCAATTAAATAGAATATTGTGGTGCTTGGTGCTGGGCTTCTTCATGCTCAGGATGTGGAAGATTCTAGCCACAGGCTGAAAAACTAGGCTGAGCTTTCAGTTGAATGCTGTGAAGCGTGGGATACGTTGGGAGATCCTCCCACATTGTCTGTAGAGGGAGAAGTAAGAGGAGCTCTTACCTGTTCAGACCTACTATGTCAGTCTGGTTTTTTTCTCTGATGTGCAACGGAGGCAGGGAACTCAAGCTAAGGCTTGACTAAGAATATTGTGTTACATAATTAGTACAGTGGTAAGAATAAATCAGACTTGAACTCTGTGAAGCATGGTAGGCACAGGGATTCTTCTCATGTGTTTCCAACCTACTGGTTTCAGCTGCTTGTATCTCTCAGAATTTTTCATGTTTTTCATTTGTTTGAAAGCAGATGCTTCATTTCTAGAAAGTCTGATGAGGAGAGAGAAGTTCTTCAGCTCAGACCACATTTAAAATAGTGACAGCACTTCAGAAAAGAAAATGGATAGCTCAAAAGCCTGTACTCATTTTGGAGAATGTCCTTGATAAATCAGAGATTAAAAAAAAAACCAAAATAAATTTGGCAAGTCAAACAGTATTTTTTGGGTGGTAACAAGCTTCAGAGTATGAAGATAGAGGACCCTTTGATCAGAATTGCTTTTACTGTCTTCTCTTACTACACCCTTCAAGGTAAAAGATAATGTTCTCTGTGGAATCATTTAAAAAGGCAGACTTCAAAATACTGCATGAGTCATATGTAATGCTTTCACAGTTAATGAATAGTAGTGTCTGGTTACTGGATCTAGTCTTTGGAAGGTGTGCTGTGGTGTTGATCGGGTTTTCTGTTTTATTTTCTGCTTAGCTTTACTGTCCTTTAGAGCATATACTGATTCCTTACCTAGGTTACCTAGGGTAGTGTGGAGAAAACTGAAAAATAATTGTTAAAGAATCAAGAGACAATGGCTTTCAGCTACTTAGCAGTAGCCTGTCATACATCTGAAGCTGCCATTTTCAATTATTTCTTCAAGCTTTTATTCTACATCTATTAATAATTTGTAGCCCCTTCCATCTGTTCATTTTATTGATGAGTTCCTCATTTTTATAAATGTGAAATCACTTGGGTTTTACTTTGTACTTCAAAATGAAATACATTTCTCTTGAAGGCCTTGGAACTGGTGTTTGCTAAGGAAAAGAATACTTCTTTCTGGATTAAATTGGGATAACAAGCATCTGTCAAGTCTTTTCAGAGAATTTTCATTGTTTTATAGTGGAGAATGTTTAAAACCAGTAAATACTTTGAAAATTTGGACTTTATCATTACTTCCCTAACTTGGACAACTGGATTATTCAGATACGATCCGATTATTCAGATAGTACCTTACCATCTTCTTCCTGTTACAGAGTATTCGCTATGCAGCAGATCCCAATTGGTGAAGCCAATGTAACAGGTCGAGTACGGTTGCATTTTTCTTGTTGACTTGTCATGCCTTTGCAAGAATCACAAAGATTAATTCCTTAGAGCTGCTGAGTTCACTGCTGCTAGTAATATTTCAACTTACTTTCTTGCAGGAAGCTGTCCAGAAAAGCTGCTGTATTACATCTAACATCATCACTGTGTGAACATGGCTTTTCCGTTCTCTCCAACTAGCCTAGATGGGAAGACAACACCAGGTACCAAACAGTGGCACCAGCAGCTGAGTAGGTGGGTTGCTGCTTGCAGGGACAGCTCACCGTAAGACTGGTACCAATGCTTTGAGATTCTAGGTTGGTGCAAGAGCTGTGCAGAAAGCTGGAGGGGTTACAAGCATTGTGCAGCTGCTTGATGGGTGTTACTATAAGATGAGAAATCTGATTGTATGCTGAATTCAGGTATGACAATACAGTGTAAGGAAACCGCTCTGTCTAGGGAAGAGTGATAGGTGATCTGCTTTTTTTTTGTATGGTCTTGCACAAATTTTCAACATAGAAATTGGGAAGCAGCGTAGATAGTTGGGATTGGGGGCCCCCCCCCCATTTAACAATTCTTACAATCTTGCGATGTTGCCACCTATGGGTGAAACCTTGGAACGCTGCTTCAGCAATAAAAACATCACTACCAAGTCTTTATGGTGTCTCCTTTCTTCACTGAACTGTTGTTACTCACTCCAGAAAGTCAAAACACTGTTAAGATCATTTCGGTGTCTTTTTGAAGTGTCAGTGTTTGATGGAGAGCATGTTCACCACAATGCAATAGAATTAGCAATTGCATTCTGCAATTTCCGTAAGTTTTCCAAAATAGAACTTTTTAAGACTTGGTTTTAGGTTTGCAGGTCTCTTCAAATTTTGTTTTTGTTCCCCAGTCTTACTGCTCTTGGACTGCACTAATTCAATGTTTCCCTCCTAGCAATGTAAAATACTGAGAGCCTTCCTACTAGGAGTAACAGCCAGATCTCATCCCAGCCCCTAGCACAGTTGAAAAATACTTTCCTCTGAAGGATCTATCTTCTGGCTGCTCTTACATACATGTATCTAAGCTTTTAAAGAAGAAAAGCCATGTTAAAACAAAAGTCTTCATGTTTACCACAGGAAATTCATCTAGATGTCAGAGAACAAAGGGAAAATACTATTTGTGCAGTGGGCCACGTAACTGCCAATACAGCATGTATTTTTTAGTCATTGTAGGAACAAGTCAAATGAGAGACTTAATGTCTCTCTTATTCTGAATTCATACATAATTGGGAAAGAAAAAAAAAGCAAAAAAAAAGCAAGCAGCCTTCAACATCCCAGAGAAAAAAAATCTCCAGCCCTTGCAGCAAAGATTTTCTAGGTTTTAACTGCCTGCCTTGTTAAAGCAATTAGGTAAGAAGCACAAAATGGAGACGGGAATGGCACGATGGCAATATTGAAGGTTATTTGAATAAAAATTTAGGATTTTGATTATTTTGAGCAACTCTTAGAAGCCAAATTTACCATTTCTGTAACTGTCAAAATAGATTACTGTTATTCTCCCTAGTTTGTTAAAAACTGGACTGAGCTTAATCTGGATTTCCATATTCAGAACTAGAGAACAACATTAATTATGCTCCTTGTCACAAGCTTCAGAAAACAAAAATGGGGCTTCTGAGGGCTGTGTTTAGGTTGTTCCATTGCCAATAACACGGGCTAGCCAGTTCTTCAGCTACAACTTTGGTATTTCAGAGCTTTGTTAGTCACAGCTCCAAGCCTGTCAAGGTTCATGGAGTGCCTGCATGACACTCTCAGTCATGCAGTTTAGTCTTCAGTAGTCCCTGAGGACTTGATGTCCTTACATGCCCCTTCCATCTTGAGATATTCAATGATTCTATCTTGGACAGAAAAAGAACATTCTAACTAGGGTAGCAATACAGAGAACTGAATTACAGAACCTTTCTAAGTCCCTTCAAACTTTATTCTTCCAATTAAATTCAGCATAGCAGTCACAGGAGATCAATGACAAATGCTGAACAGCACACCTCATGAACGTACACATCTGCATCGGACACTGCATTTGAGCTGTTCAGCTGCTCAATCTAATAGTTTAACTAAACCCATTTTGTGGTCTTCTGCAGCAACTTCTCTCCCCTCTGCTTAATCAACACTTCCTCAAAATAAATTTTAACTGCTTTTGTTTGCTTTCTGTTTAAGCATGTTGCGTGTAAAGGGTGCTATATAAAATCAAATTAAGTTACATACATTATCACCCATGTGCTTCCCATATGGAATTTTTCCTCTTTGTGTCATACACCATCAGGTGATGCAGCTCTATGGAATTATTCAGACTTTCATCCAGCAGTGCAGTTTCTGTACTTTATTCTGAAAGTCTCTTAATAACTCGTTTAAAACAAGTGAACAGATTAAAAGTGTTCTTTATTAAATAACTCAAAAGGTAAAGCAAACTGTGTGATTAAGAAAGACAACATCAAACTTCCAAAGGATTTTTACAGCAGAAAACAAACTGTGGCAAATGAACATTTCAGTCTAGCAGCCAAACTGTCCTCGTTTTTATGGAGTTAATTTCGGTCCTCAAATTGTGACTTGTTTTTTAAGAGATATGCTGCTAGAAATTCAATGGGATTTGGTGGTCTGCAAAGAAGAAAATAAATAAAATGTTACTAATTTTTGTTAGATTAAATTAAATAGCTGAAGAACTAATTACCTTCCCTTTAAAAGCAACATAACTCCTCCCAGACACAAACATCGATGTAGGGATGATCAACTCCCTAGAGTTACCTTGTAAACTTCCAGTTTATGTCTGAGGAGAAAGTTTTTAATAAGGAGTCATAGTCACTGCTGGTTCAGTGTTACTGACTTGCTAGAACAGCTGCATTACCTAGAACTAGAGTACAGTCTGTAAGTGTAAACACTGCATGCACACCATTGGAAGTTACACACATTTGCCTATTTCTGTAACTCGTGCTGCATGAAGTGAAAGTTAATCTGTCAGTGATTTCTTGCTTCATTTTCATCAAATGGTTATTGAATAGCTTTGTGCATTAGAGCTGTTTTCTCGGTGCTGTAACTTGCAAGAGGTCAATAACAAACACTTTTGATCACTGGCCTTCACCTGCAAGGTTTTTTAAAGAAGTTCTTCCAGCTACACTGCATGAATCCTGATAATTTGGATCCTGTCCACAGAATAAATTTACTTATTCCACACTGAGTCAGAGGCCTGGCAGTGAGCAAACAGCCTGTAAAGAGCATTAAAAAAGGTGAGAGCACACAGAACTGCACAAAGATATTTCTGCATATCATCCTTTTGGCCTCCAACTATGTACCAAGTTCTGTGTTGGCACCTATAATAGTCCTGGTAGATTCCTCTACTACTTTGTCCAGTTAGCCCTTGACCCCAAATAAAATGTTAATGTCTTCAACCTAAGGCAAAAAATTATATAGCTTAATTATGTGAGCTGTGAAGGATCACCTCTTTGTTCATTATGAATTTGCTACCTGCTTCACTTAATTGGATTGCTCTATCAGAAGAAATAATAAACAATCCATACCAACTCATCATGTTTGTGCTATTCATGATTCAACAGATTCCTATTATATTCTCTCAGAAGTGTCTTTTCTAGGTATCTATTCAGTCACTCTGTATACAGACAGCATTCCATACTTCTGACAACCTTGTCATTCTTTTTCACGTTCCACCAGAATACAAGGGAATGTGACTTAAACACAATATTAAAAATATGAGAACATTATAAATTTAAATAGTGACATTCTGCTTGTTCTCACCCATTCAATTTCTAAGTCCTACCATTTGGTGTTTCTTTTTGACTGAGCAATGCACTGACACATATATTTGACAGTTTAAAGCTATTTTTTTCACAAGGAAGAATAGTTTTGTCACTAGCATTACCCTCCTAGGTGCATCACTTTGTTTATTTGTATTAAATCTTTCACTTTTTGTCATTTCATAGTTTCAATTTCATAGCAGTCTTCCGTAGTTTCACACTGAGTTTATGAAGTTCCTGTGCAATTATTTACAATCAACAGACTTAAAAAAACAAAACCCAAAATAAAACAATCATAACTCCAAGCAACAAAAATAACAACAAAACCACCCAAAAACCCCCAACCAAAAACCACAGGAAACCCAACCTGTTCTAGAAAACTCAGTATCTAACAAATTTTGTCAGCCACTTCTTCAAATTGCTTTAAATGATTGTTTAGAGGATTCTAGTGTTGGGGTCATCTCACCATGAAAATTCACCATTTCTTTCTACTCTCTCTCATATCTTCCGATCAGTTCCTCATCCATCTAAAGGTTTTTCCTTTAATCCCACAGCAACTAATCCCCTTTAAAAGCTTTTAGTGAATGACTGTGTTAAAAACTTCTTGGAAACTTGAACAGTCTTATCACCTGGATTCCTGTTTACATGTGCTCACTGACTCCTTCAATGAAGGAGTTCAATGAAGGAGTGAATGAAGAAGGTCAATGCAAGAGTGAATGAAGGAGTTTGTTCACTCCTTTAACTCCAAGAGACTTACAAGACTTGACAGTTTTTTTTACTTCCCCCAAATACTGCATTTATCCATATGCTCATTATCCTGGATGATAATTTTTACTGAATTCTAGACAGTCATCAGATGTACTGGGCTGTTCCCTGAACATATCTACATTTCTTAGGAAAACATATTTAGCATTCATTAGTTATTTTCCAGTCCAATTTTAAGCAGAAGATTATACAGCAGAGCTGGTAGTTTAGCTTTTTCACCCCTGAAATTTTCATATGCTCAACTGAATAGCCAATTTGACCATGGCAGTTTGGTACTTATGTTGTTATGGTTTTTTCCTGTATGCTCCCCAAACTCTTCTATCAATATTCCAATTTCACTCCTGTACTGATCCCCATAAAGAACAGCTCCTTCTATAAAGATAAATAAAAACCAGGTTTGTCTGTAGCACAAGTATCCAAACTGTCAGTGTGTGGGATCCACCTCAGGCTTTATTTTACATTCAGTCTGCAGCAGAGCTCCCACAGATGTCAGCTGAAGATCCCCAGGCTGTCCAGGTAGACACATGGGTGTACCTTCCAAGGTGCTCTTTTGCCTAACTAGCTGTCTGTACAACAAAATTCAAAGTCACAACTCTTTTTGAGGTGAAGACCGTGTAGTTGTCCTGGCTGTAGGTAACACGATGCTATTAGGGTCACCCATACCAGCTTTTGATTGTGTTATTTTGGCACCACTGAGAAACTATACACAGTATGACTCACCAGTAGCTTAGATACACCAAAAGGCTGAAATTAATTTGGGTAAGATGAAAAACTGTTTGCTGTTTTGGAAGTGTACCCTTCTGCGTTTACTGACTAGAGATTTGGAGCACCTCAGCAGCATAACTTTTACTCAGAGGACAAATTATCAGTTTGCTTCTTACTGTGTTGACAGTACAGACTCATCCTTTAGAAAACATTTTCATCTTCAACAGATGCGTATCAGGCCAAATTTGTCTGTCTTTTAAAAGGCAAGTAGAACTCTTGATAATTCCACACTACAAAAATCTTGCTTAAACTAGAACAACTTCTTGCCTTCTTTCTATTAGGTGAATTATGTGATAAAATTAATTAAAAAAAAATACATTCCTCCCCGCTCCCAAAACCTTTGCAGTAATATTCCTCACTGGGAGATCATAAATTCAAATAATAACCTATCATGCTGTATGCACCTAAGCGAGGAACACATCCTGCATGGTCAGAGTAATTCTTAGGTTCACAAACCTGTTGTAACGACTCTCACAACTAGCAAAGCCACATCTGGTGTGTGAGGTCTGAAAACGTAACATAGCACCAGTGTTTGAGACCTACTTTTTACTCCAACAACAGAAGGGACATTGAAGCATCTTACCTCTCTTTTGCAAGCACAGCGAGTCCTTGTAGTAAGATAGGTACAACTGTCTGATCCAAGTAGGCACGTGTGGGCAATGACTGAAGATCCACCTTCTGCTTTGATGTTTTCTCTGCATTTATTTTCTCATTTTCTACTATCCTCTGAAATGGAAGAAAAAAGGGTGGGTGGGAAATGAACACTGGTAATGTTGACAGCCACATCTGCATTGAAGCGTGAGTGCAAAGTACCCATCTTCCTGCAAGTTACTGGCAAGATTAAAGAATATTTGTCCTTGCATAAAAACCTAACCCAGAGGAGCCTTCTGTTCAATTCTCACTTTTTGATGAAACAACGTTAGGAAGTCATGAGTTTTCTAAATCAGAAAATATCAGTTTCTATCATTTTTATTTCTGTTTTTGCATTCAGAGATTTAAATTCTACATCTGAGAATGACTGGAATGACTGCTAACAAGAGCAGTCTTAATTACATGGCTCCTGTGTGCATGCACTGCAAACACAAAACACTAAGAGCATGAGAAATTCAGGTGGAGCCTGACCAAGGGGGCTCTATTAAAGTCAAACACTTCAAAACTGTGCTTTATTAAAAGTATATATGGACCCTTTGAAGAAAATGCATGCAAAATGCTTAAAAAATGCTTTTGGTCAAAAAGTGCTGAATCATTTTACACCATTAACTGCAGTTAAAAAAGGGTACCCTACCACTGCTAGTAAACCAAATGTATTCAAGGGAGCATAAGCATATCTACAGATACGGGACCAACTTATCCAACGTGTTGAAGTTCTTTAGCAGAAGTTGAAGCCAACAAACAAGCAGGGGGGTGAGTCACAAAGGATGTTTAAGAGAAGGCTTCTGCAAAAGCTTAGCAAAAAGCTGATAATGGAATGACACTGAAGGCTCTTCTTTAATAAGAAATATTAAGGAAGTATCGTAGGGTTATTACTGTAATCCACCCTGTTACCAACAGCTGAGAGAATGGATTGTGTCTGCTCTTTCTCAGCATAAGTAATTAAAGACACCTTGGATTAACCTGTGAATATGAAAAGAATTCCTTCCTTTGATACTTCCCTAGAAATTCCATCAACCCCTCCTATTCACTTCCCTGTAATTTAAGCCTGCCTGGCTTTTTGTGGCACAATAAATCATATATATATATAAAATAGATAATGATGGAATAGATAATGGTCCTAGGAATACTTCCAAAAACCCCCATCTCATTAAAAGTTTCATTATTTACTTCAGCATCATTTAGTATCATGGAAGCAACACAACAGAACACATATTAACAGCCAGTTGAGCAACAAACTGTTGCTCTGTAGATTCAATTTCTATCTGACTTTCTTAGGAACATTATATTTGCTGAAGTTAGACTCAAGACTCAACATTTTCCCCCCTGACCAAGAATATGACTTTCCCGGTACTTCACAACAACAAAATCTTTGTTACCTCTACATTTTCAGTGAGGCCGTATTCAGAATGGGGATTTTCTGGAACCTGAAAAATAACACACAGCAAAATGAAAAAGCTCCTTTCACGCATGTAGCATTACGCACATAAAGCATTTCCTGCAGTACCTGTGGCTGTCCCTCCATGATCTGCTCTGCCTCCATGATTTGAAAAGTGGAGTTTGCTACACACACCGAAATCTGGAAAGTCAAAAAATACCGGTCAGCAGGCTGAGGTGAAGACCAACGTTAGCGGACTAATACCGTATCGCTTGCTGGCAATTAAGGCACAATTACTAGAGAGCAAACTGAGTGGCTCCGTGCTTTGTTCCCCACCACCAAACTCGTACGCGTTTCTCCCACACAAGAACCGCGACAGGGGCTGTAAGAAGACGGTACCAGGACTACAAAACACAGTACTCCTCACTTAAAACAGGAGTCCCCCAAGACGGCCGGCTCCCAATCGACTGCGCCCGCAGGAAGGTGAACACCCTTGCTCCCTCTTCCTACCCTTCTTCCCTCCCTCCTTCCCTCCCCCCATGCTCGGCATGCCGCACAGAGCGCCAGTGCCCCGGGACCCGCCGCAGCGCGGGCACCACCGGGGTCTGCGCGGCCTGGGAAATGCCCAACCGCCCCGCTCTCACCCGTCTGTGGGGCCGAGGCTCGGCGGGCACCGAGAGCCTCACCGCAGCAACCACTGCCACCGCGCACGGCGTCGTAAAGTGCTTTGACGTAAGTGAAGAAGTCGCGCCGCTGGCGCAGACCCCCGACAAACTGCGCCTGCGCCGCTGCAACCCGCTCTCCCCATTGGCGGGAGGGCACGCGGAAGCGAGCCGCTGGGCGGTGCCGGCAGCGCGGCGGTCTTAAGGTGCCGGAGGGGGGCTGAGTGGGGTGTAGAGCAGTGGTAGTATTGTTGTTATCGAGTGTAGTGGTGCGGGCACACGGCTTACGCAGCCCTCATTCTGCCTTTAGAAACTAAAGGTAACTGCATAGATTGACTCATCAGGATTGCTTGAAAGTTACTGTTTTCCCTTTGTCATTCAGTCTGTCCTTCAGTTTATTAACAGCATTATCCTTCACCAGCTTTTCTATTTTGCTCAGGAACGGGGTGATGCTAGAGTTGGCAGAGGGCTAATAGTGACTATAGGTTGTTATCTATTGACAGGGGGCTTATTTTTCTAGACATTTTTGAGTGCTACATTGTTTTAACATCGAACTTTCTGGAATTCTCTTTATTCCAAAATTTGCCACATTTTTATATCAGGAGAAATAACTTTTGTTTATGTTTTTAAAGGGCACTTAGTTATATTAAAAAAAAAATACCCACCTAGCTGCTGCATTATTTTCCAGTCATTTCCAGATGAAAAATAATGAAACTTCCTGCCTCTTTTTTTTTTTTTTTTCCACTGGTAAGTTTACTGTTTCTAGGTCATACATAATTGTATGTTTATGATTTTTATATATTAATAAAATTATTTTCTACAGTAAGAAGTAATAAAATTAATACTTAGTTCTGTTGTTAAAGTAACATTCAGTTTAAATAGAGGGGGAACTTTCCGAACTAGAAGCAGCTGTGTGGCACAAACAAGGAAAGTAATCGAACAGTAATTTTATAGTAACTCGAGGAAAGACAGTAACACATCGGGGACGGTAGTGAGTTCAATTTGGTTTATCCTTTTAATTAATACTCCCACCAACCCAATTTCCTGCTATAAACGGGAAAGCAGCTCGCTGGTGCACCAAGTTATGAACTCATACTCTGGGTCATCCTAGCTTCTGTCGGCCGTTCTGGGGGGTAGAAGAGAGCGATCTGTCATGACGTTAACAGTAGCTCTGAGTATTTTATTTGCAGAGCGGAGAGTGTGTGACAAAACAAAACAAAACAAACGAACCGAAAATGAAAGGAGGGGAAGATCGCAGCGCAGAGGGAGGGTTCGGTCCGGCCCCAGGCGCAGGTCGTGGGCAGTCTGTCACTGCAGCTATACAGACGTGGAGTGGTCAAAGCACCGGAGAACTCACTGCCATGTTCAAGGGAGCGATACGAGAGGGCGGCAGGATGGGCATCGGCTCCTCCGCACCCCGAACGAATTTGGGAGGGAGGAAATTCCTCCCAACGCTGCTCACCCGCCTCCCACAACGACTGCACGCCGAGAGCGGCGCCAGGTACCCCGCAGTGCGTGGCGGCTCACAGCGCCAGTCGGAATAATAAATGTTATTAAATTAATTAGGTTCATCCTCTTCCCACCCGCTGTGTTTCAATGTGCTGAAATCCCGCGGGCTGGGCCCGGGCATAGGCACAGCGCTGACAGGCACGGCACTACGTCCCGCTGGGGTCCCCGCCCCGGCCCGCGGGGCAGGCCGGGAGCTGTAGGCGCCCCGCGGCGCCGTCTCCGCCACCTATTGTGGCTGCGGCGCGCCGGCAAAGGCACTGGGGCGACGGCGGGCGGTGTCTGAGAAGTGCCCTGCGCACTCCTCCCCCTGGGGCCGAACGAAAGGGGCGTCGCCGCCGCTGCCGCCATGGCCGGTTGTTGTCAGTCCCTGGCAGCGGGTTATGGCGACGGCGGTGAATGAATTCTCCGGGCGGCCGAGGGAAAAAGAAGGGCTCAGCCGGCTCCAGCACCGCGCCTCCGGCCGCCGGGCCCTCGCCCTCCTCGCCGCCCGGGCCGGCCACCCCCGTGCCGCCGGCGGGGGCGACGGCGGCAGCGGCGTCCCCCCACAAGCGGAACCTGTACTACTTCTCGTACCCCCTCTTCGCCGCTTTCGCCCTGCTCCGCTTCGTCGCCTTCCAGCTCGGGCTGCTCTTCGCCTGGCTCTGCGAGCGCTTCTCCTGCGGCGCCCTCATGGCCGCCAAGGGCAGCAGGGCTGGAGCCAGCGACGCGCCCGAGCCCGGCGGGGCGCCCGAGACGGTGCGGGCCTGCCACAAGCGGGCCTTCGAGTGCATCTCCATGGCGCTGCGCATCGACGAGGACGAGAGAGGTAGGGGAGAGGGATGTGGTGGCAGGCGGGCTGGGTAGGCCGGTGTCGGGAGGGCGGGCAGGGCCAGAGCTGCCGCTTTGAGTTGGGAGCAAACAAAACCTGCCTGTGTGAGAAATACGGGTCACGAAGGATCTGTGCCGGGGGGCGAACGCCGTGCGGCCGCCTGTATGCGGGTACGGTGCTTCGCTCCCTGTCGCCCAAGCCAGGTCCGGCCTCATCCGGCAGGTGGAGGCTGGTCTCCCACACTCGAAGCAGGTCTCTGTCTCGTTGTAATAGCTTTAAAGCTTTTAGTGCGGAGGCCTGGCTGTGACTGCAACTAGCTCTCGGTGTAACCGAGCCAGCTGGACAACTAAAGCATCAGGGACAATAATAAGGGTGCGTCTTTAGTGTGCTGTCACTACAAATGATGGAAGTGTTGAGGTAAGTCTGAAAGAAATTTTGCTCCCAAACTGGTCATTTGAAGTCTGAATTTTAAGGAATATTTGTATTCTGGCAGTTTTGAGAAATTATATTTCTAAAGCTGCTTGACATGCTTGCTCGTAAGAAAACTCACTATGTGACTAGAAGACCTTAAGAAGGATTCATAGGGTTTGATTAAATGAAACGCAGGAGTAAGGGGGTTATTTTTTTCCTAGAAGATAAAAGCAAACAAACAAAAACCCAAACAAATAGGGCAATTGCTACTGCATTTGACATGGCCATTTATTCTAAATGCAGCAGCACGCCTCTGTCAGCCTCCAGAAGATAGTCGTTAGGGACATGCCGTGCTGTGTTTTAAAATTCTCTGGAAACATCAGAATACCTTATACCATTTCAGTTGAGCTGTAGTGCAACTGCTATAATAGAGGAGGATTTTAAAAAAGTAGATATAGGCTTTCAATAGGAGCTACATGCTGAGAGCACCATAAAAGTGAGGAATGTGTCTTGCTGTGCACTGTTGGGGAGTAGCAGGGATAAACTCTGGAAGGAAAAACCTCACCAGGTGCAGCAGCATTAGTTCAGAACAGACATAAAGTGTGAGAGCATTGAGGGTTGTAGGAGCAAAGCATGAACAAAGGTGAGGTAGCTTAAAACTTCTGTGGAGTTGATTACTCTCTGGAGAGTACCGAAGTCTTAAATTATCAGGTGCCCATTCCACTGTTGTGGCTTGAAGGGTAAGCTTTCAAATACTGATTTTAATCATGGACTTCCTTTGTAGGTACTCTTAGAATTATCATACATGAATTAGCTGCACAGGTCGTATGTTTACTAAGAAGATCTTTGCTGCTAGAACAAGCAGTTGCAAAGCTGTTACAACTCTGCAACTGCAGTATTCATTGCACTGAGAAAGAACTCGCCTTGCTTTAATACATTGATTTGTTATTTGCTTATTTGTTTTTGCTAGAATGCATGCATAACTTTGAATATATTTGATATGTAAACAAGCTTTGTATAGCTTCTAACAGAAGACACTATATTAGGCATAGCATGCAAGATGTTTGGAGTTTCTGGATTATCTAATACCCTGTTAATTATGTGGTGGTTTTGCTATTCTGGAAGCTATCTGTACTTCAGTAATTATGATAGCATTTCTGGTAAGTTTTATGCCTCTGAATTATTTGTGAAATGAATATTCTTGGTTTGGTATATTCAAAATCATGCTTACCATCTCCTGGGAGTGAGAAGGCACATGTGTTGGGTTGACCTTAGCCAGCAGCTCAGCACCCACACAACTGCTTGTTTGTGCCCCTCAGTGAGGCAGGGGAGAGAACAGGAAGAGCAAAAGTGAAAAAACTTGTGCTCTAGCAGAAAGACACTTAGTAAGTGAAGGGAAGAGGTGGGTCAGAAACTCATGATGCTGGGCACTGGTAAGCCATGCCTTTGTGAAGTTCTGAGCAATTGCTGCCTTGTAAGTTGGCCCCCACCCAGTTATTCCTCTACCCAAGTTTTTATTGCTGAGAATTATGTACTGGGATATGAAATACCCCTTTGGTCAGTTTGGGTCAGTCATCCTGCCAGTGCCCCCTCCTGACTTCTTGTGCACCCCCAGCCTATTCACTGGGGATATATAGTAGGGGAAAAGAAAATCTTCAGGTTGTGCTGTTCAGCGATAGTCCAACCTTTGGTGTCTTACCAACACTTTTAATTGCAAATAAAAAAAACAGCGCCGTAGGGGCTGCTGCGAAGAGCAGGTAACTCCATTCTAGCCAGACCCAGTACAGCAAATCAACAGCTTCCAAGGAATGTGACATTGAATGTATTAATTACTGAGAACTAGTAGACCATCCTGCATGGATTCAGAATGGTACTTTTGCAAACTGCACTTCTGGTGCAGTGCTTTTTAAACTTCTCCAGTTAAAATGTGGAAGTGAGATTTTAATGATGACCTTGGCATGTTTGCAAATGCTCTGCAGAATAACAAAGCAATTCAGGCAACAGCAGAGGTGGCTGGAGTCGTCACAAATTTGATTTCTAATAGCCAGATTCAGCATCAGAGTTACATTGGAGTTGAAACAGTTTCTATAGGTGGTGTGGAGAAGCTTAAAAAGGCCAAATGTAAGATGAAAGGCACTCAGCTTTGATGATTTAATGTATCTGTCTTTGTCCTTAACAGTCAGGATATTTGAGGCTGGTGGAGAAAAGGTAGTAATAAGATTATTCCCAAGGTGTGTGAGGTACACAGCTGTGGGAGGGTGCTGCTCCTGTGATTTGCATTGGTAAGAAGAACAAAGCGTGGGAATTACCTGTGCAGGGTAATTTGCCAAATGTTATTAAAAGATTTTGCATCTGGAGAGGAGCAAGAGAGAGAACACCCTTAACTGGGTTTTAGAAGTGTGTTGAAATATTTTTTTACTGGTGCTGCAGTTTGCTAGAAAATAGATTTGGGACTGAAATTATCAAAAATATTTGATTGCAGAAGCAACTCATCACTGATAACTGACACTTAGAAATAGTTTGGTGAAATATCATCTCTTGTGAAACTAGGGTAGTTGTAGCTGAAGGTTTTGTTCTAGGCTTTTTTCCCCCTAGCACTAGCAGCAACTAATGCTGATCAGGTTTAAATTGAAGTACCTAATGTGCTGTATTCCTGTGCGGAAAGGCATGCTTAGTATGACATAGCTACCCTGTAAAAGTATGTTTCTATATGCAATCAAGTATGTTATTAATGCAGAGTGCTTATAGAAGGGGAGCAATACAAAGTATATATTGATGTCTCCCCAGTGGGTCATTTGCTGTCATGGCATTAGACATGTTCACAGTTGTGTCTGCTGTAGAATCCATTTAGGACGTTGTTGGTACAGAGGTCCTTTCTAATTCTGTATGTATTGTACTTCATGTGAAGGTTGATGTTCACCTGTGATAAAACAGTTTCATGATAGGATGAACGAAGAAATACCTCCATGACTAATGAGCTGCTCTATATGAAAGTTAACCAGAGGAAAAATGTATCTTGTCTCATTTGAGTAGTATCTTAGAGTCATTGCATTTCTTTTTGAGTTTTTGTGCTTCTAGTGTTATTTTGGTATTGGCTGTTACTGGAAGATTGAGAGGCTTGTTTCCAGAAAGAAAAGTAATTAATTTCACCATTTCTGTTGTAAGCAAATATGTGTAGCCTAACCTTTTTGCCTTTTATTTGGGGTATTGTTTGTTTGAGGGTTTGTGTGTGTGTGGGATGTTGGGGATGTGGGTGGGGGAGGGTGACTCATGCCTATAAGGTGGATGTAGAAATATTCCTAAAAGTGATTTGAAACTGTGATATACCAACTGGCGTAGTACCTGTTTTTAATAGAAAAGCTTGTTCACAGTGTCTCTTTAAATGTTTCTTTAAATTATAGGATTTTGTTAAAATATCTCCTTCTTCCTCTTACTTGTTTTATGTAGCATGGAACCATATGGGACCATTTGTAAGCTTTAATTCATTACGGAAAATAATGGGTTCACTTCCTTTTTAAGCAGGACAAAAGGAACAAGCTGTTGAATGGTATAAGAAAGGAATTGAAGAACTGGAGAAAGGAATAGCTGTCTTAGTAGTTGGTCAAGGTAAGCCAGTTTTGAATTTTGTGGGAAAGATTCTGGTTTATGACTTCTTTAGAGCGAGAAACCAATATTGCTAAATATAGTAGATGCTAGAAATGGTCTGCTGTATGAGTTTGTTCATTAGAGTGTTTTAGCTGTAGGGGAGCACTGGTCCATTTCTCTGTTTTATCTTAATGTTCTGGTCTATAACGCATGCGAATCTTGCTCCAGATATTTTCGTGCTATCCAAAATCATAAGCAGTTCGTGAAAATTCTAAAGCAAAACACTTACATAATGGACATGTCAAAATATTGAGTTCTGTTTTGATTTGTCAGAGTTGACAGTTCATGTTCTCATATAGAATTTGATTCCCTTCAGTATGACTAAAACAAACACCCCAATTCAGTATGGTCTAGTGTTGTGCTTCTGAATAGCTTATGCCAAAATAGCTGAACATTTCCAACAAAGGAAGAAAGCCATCTGTGTGTATGGAAACATTTTAATCTGCAGTGTAGAAGCAGGTATGTACCATGGAGAAATAGGTATAGTAACAGAGTTCCTAAGAATTTATCTCCTGAAAATATAACAATAATAATAAACACCCCACCACCACCAAAACCTGTAACTGCTTTTGTAGACTGCTGTTTTGTTCCTCAGCTATGTTTAGAAATGTTTGTGAACAGTATATTGTGACATGTTACTTACGCAGCAATACTGGTGGCATTTGACACAACCCATCTAAATTTCACATTAAAGGGAAAAAAGTAAAAGCTTGACTTGAACAAATGTTATTCTTTAGGAAGTGGTGATATTAATGTCTGTAATTTAGTGTTTTGAAATGTAAAGGGACACAGTCAACTGAATTTAAATCTGTTCATTTTGAACTGAGTTATTTCAAATGGTACTTGCCTCTCAGTCACTTTTCAAGCTTTCTAAAAAGTCATTTTTATTCAGTTTCCATTGAGGAAAATGCAGTGACAACGGGCACATATTAGGTCAGTGTTAAATATTTAAAAATTATGTAAAGCAGTGCTTGGGTTCTCACTGCTTCATGAGCAATATTGTAAAGCAGATAGTGTCAACTAACTTCAAATTCTTGAATAAGTAGAAAGCTTTAGGATTTTTTCATTAGTTTTGCAATGAAGTTTCTTAGTGGAGAGGGTAGGTAAGGGGTAGGATAAAGAAGAGGGAAGCCTGGGTATCGGTATTTTAGTCCTTTAAAAAGTTAATTTGCCAAATTATGTTTTAACTTTGATTTTTCTTTTTAAGGTGATCAGTGTGATCGAGCTCGACGTCTGCAATCTAAAATGATGACAAATTTGGCAATGGCCAAGGATCGCTTGCAGCTCTTAGGTACCACTTACAATTCATGACTTGTGCTAATAATGACAAAATTTCCAGACTTCCCCATATGCATTCTTCAAATACATTACTCTGATTTTTGAAGTGAAAGAATCATTACCTGTGTAGGCTCTCTTAAGTTTGGTTTTTAGTTGAGAGTAATATTTTTTTTAATGCTGTTGATGGATTTTGAAATGGGAATCTCATGACCCGCTTCCCTGTGCCTTAATATATAGGTGTAAAAGTAACTGAGAAGTCTATATCATAGCACGCTTGACTCATACACTGCAGAAGTCTTGACTAATTCTTGTTGGAGCTAGTTTTGGATTTCTGTGTTAGAACTGTAGTAAAGCTTAGGATATACTTCTGATCATTAGTACTAAGTGTGCCTTCTGTACATGTAACTACCTCATGTTCTGTTAATTCTGCTGTCACTTACGTAACATTTTTCCTGATTATTGGTGTGGGCAGTAACAATAATTCTTTAGCATCATGTAGTCCACAGGGTTATGAAATCTTAATGCTTTAGTTTTTATCTAGTACTGGTCTATTTTAAGACTAGCAGGTAAGATCACTTCAGAAGTGTAGTGTTATATAGCTTTATCAAAGTTGTGTTATATATAAGCTTTTAATGGACAGAGTAAACCAGGCAGGATTGGAAACAGCATTGTACTGTGCATGATAAACAAAGACACGCACCACCCCCCCTACCCCCCCCAAGGCAACAAACCAACACTTTTCTGTAGTGCATCCTCTAAATTGAGAAGTTCAGAAATGCTTTCAGTTTAGACAGTAAAATGAAAATACAGATTACTTTTTAATTGCTCTTTAAGGAAAACCTAACAAATGTACTTGAGTTTAGTTTGTCTATCTGCAGCCTTAGTCTTGAATTGTGTTGAGTTCTTATAGCTGCCTCTTCTAGGAGCATATAGAGCAGACAGGAAAACCTTTGTTCTTTCGTCCTCTTACTTACACTTTGTAGTTCTGTGGTCCTAACTAGTAATTGACAGGGAAGTTGCGACAACCACAAGAAAGTGAATTCCTTTTGTTTCATTTGAGTTCCTGGTATCCTTAATTCTTCTAGAAAAAAAGTGAAGGTAACATGGGCAAAATAGGCTTCTGGCTTCTATGCTTTATCGCAGGTGTTTGTCAGTAGAATTTTAGTATATGCAGAAAAGATTTTTACTTGTTAGGGTTAAAGGCTGATTTCTAGAGAAAATATGAACTAGGGAACAAAAGAGTGAAAGTGATTATATGCTATATTGATAAGGTATGTCTTGTTGCTAGCATCCAAATTGCAAGTAGCTAGGATTTGTTAAAAAAATTTGCTGTTCTTTGAACCCTGAAATGCCAGAGTCTGTGTTTTGTAGGTAGTGCTTCATCCTTGTTGGTGTTATTGCAGTAGCACTTGCAAGGTTGCTTACTTGCTGTGCTGGACAAGATAACAATGATTAGCATAACAAAAAAAACCCTGAAGTTGAAGTCAAACTGGCACATTAAATCTCTACTACCTGAATGTGTGATCACATGCTCTTTGTGTTGCTTGTGGAAATTGAAAGGTGAATGGACAGAATAGCATTTATTGCATAAGTTAATGTCAAATGTTACTTATTTTTACTTTGAAATTATCTAAAGTTTTGTACTTTGTTTTGCATAAGCTCTTACTCGGTTTGCACTGAGGATCTGCTTCAGTGTACCTGAGAGCAAAATTTTTATGGACAGGAGAATGTGAAGCCATCTGCCCTTCAGGAAGGAAAAAGACGATGTTTGGAGAGAGATTCCAATGGATTTAAATCCCTGCAAACTTGATCATTATGGATTTATTTGAGTAATATTTGTTATACCATCTAACCAACTTTCAAGTATTGACAGCATCTGTTTTTATTGTGTGATTTTACGTGGATTTTGTGGAAGTGTAAGGTAACGTAGGGTTAAATTGCATGTGCAGTTCTAAGTGTAGCTTTTAGCTTGTTACTTAGAGTAACAGATACTTAGAAGTTTTTAAATGGTGTAGAGATGATTCTGTAGTTGAACTAAACCTGAGGCTCTTGGAAGTTCTAAAGGTTCAATAAGGTGATTTTTCCTATGAATCTAACTCTTAAGATCAACAAGTAATTTTCCTGTGGAATTTCTCAATTTCTTAAGGGAGAATAAGTGGTTCCTTTATTGCATTATCTTGCAGGATAGAACAGATTTAGACTAAACACTAATATGAAATATTTCATCCTGCTTGCTAGGCAGAGATGTGATTGCAGACTAAAATGCCACCCAGTCAAGCAAGTTACATTGATAATACATAGAAAGTGAACATTAAATCATACGGATTATAACTGTCCCTTAGAAGTGCTCAGAGCTTTGATTTGTTTTGAAGTGTGTTGGATCATCAATGTAAGTTTAAGTTGCATGACACTGCTGATGGGACTGTTTGACACCACTGGTGGGAGCATGATGTCTAATCACACCCATGTATTACTGCCATGTGTCCTCACACCACTGATGTTCAACCAAGAAGATGTAGCTACTTATCTTCAATGGTGGCTTTACTATTTTAAGGCCTGTTTTCATCTTGAACCTAAATTACTGTATCATAGTCTCTTTAAAGCTGTACCATGACAGCTGCAGTTATTCCAGGTATGTGTCAAGGCACCTCAGGGTGACTTGACCACTTTGGCAGTCCAGTGAGAATACTGGGTTGTGCTGGCTGTCAGGACTTCCAAGTTCTAACATTTGAATTAGCGGCGGTCTGTGTTTTTGGCGTGGTTTAGGATATGGTAGCTGTGCAGTTATTTAGATGAGTGGATAAGTCTTGCTCTGTTGGTCTTTGTAGACCTGAACTCTCATGGATGACTGATCACCCACAGTAGAATCGTTATATTTGATACATTTAGAATCACAGAAGGATATTTGCTTTCTATAACTGACACATAGAACAGAGCAGCTCAGCAGTTTGCTGTCCCTAAAGATAGGTAAACTTAATGTCCAGTGCAACACTCCACTTCTGATGCTATACACATGCTTTACCAGTCAGTGGTCTCCCATTTCCGAGGCCCTTTCTGTAGGGCGACAGGTTTCCCACAGCACGAGTGCCTTTCTGCATACTACAGTTAACTTCAGTATTTTGGTTGAAAGATGGGCATGGCACATCATACAAGTATCGTCAGTATCTTCTTTGGTAATAATTCTGCTAATGTATAGATATGGGCTTCATTGACACCTTTTTGGATTTTTTTGCTTTCTCGGATGTGATGGTGGTTTTGCTTCAGACTCGTGTTATAGGCTAGAGGTTTTTTTGGGTTTTTTTGTTTCCTTTTTTCAAATCAGGAATGTTACCTTGAATTCAAGGTCTAGCGTTGCATAAACAAGACAATGGCTTCAGTGGTGTTTATTTGATAGGTTTATGGCAGCATGCGCTCTTAGCCCAGAAAGCCAACCGTATCCTGGGCTGCATCAAAAGAAGCGTGACCAGCAGGTCAAAGGAGGTGATCCTGCCCCTCTACTCTGCTCTTGTGAGGCCTCACTTGGAGCACTGTGTGGAGTTCTGGTGTCCTCAACATAGAAAGGACATGGAATTGTTGGAGCAAGTCCAGAGGAAGGCTAGGAGGATGATCGGGGAACTGGAGCACCTCCCGTATGAAGACAGGCTGAGAAAGTTGGGGCTGTCCAACCCCAGAAGAGAAGGCTGAGTGGAGACCTCATAGCAGCCTTCCAGTATCTGAAGGGGGCCTTATAAGGATTCTGGGGATGGACTCTTCATTAGGGACTGTAGTGATAGGACAAGGGGCAATGGGTTAAAACTTAAATAGGGGAAGTTTAGACTGGATATAAGGAGGAAGTTCTTTATCATAAGGGTGGTGAAGCACTGGAATGAGTTGCCCAGGGGAGCTGTGAATGCTCCATCCCTGGTGGTGTTCAAGGCCAGGTTGGACAGAACCTTGGCTGACATGGTTTAGTGTGAGGTGTCCTTGTTCATGGCAGGGGGGTTGGAACTAGATGATCTTAAGATCCTTTCCAACCCTAACTATTCTACGATTCTGTCAAGGAGAAATAATGAATGAGATTCTGAAATATTTTTATTTTTTTTTTCCTTTCCAGTGTCTGGAGTCATAGGGAGAAAGCATTTAAGTGGAAGGTGATAGTGTCCTTCTAATTCCATGGAATAATACTTAATAGCTCAATTTAATTTTGTTGCTTCAGAGGATTCTAAAGCAACACTGTCTCTCAAGCAAAGTTACCTGTTCGCTTTAAGTAATTTTCTGTGCAATATTAAAGTTCCTTGTTAATATGTAATGTGATGGGAAGACAGTATGTGAATTGAAACTGGGAACGGTTGGATTAATTCTAAGCTGTTGATAATTGTGATAAAACCCCAGTCTCAAACTATAGTGCTGAAACAAATAGCATTTCCTGAAGCCCTGCCCAAGCCAATTGATGGTCACTCACTAGAAAGCTTTGTTTTGGTTTGGTTTTTTAAGTGCAGAAATATTGTCCACAACTTAACTGATTCTCTTAATATTTTACCAAGTCTGTTAATGCTAATTTTGTTTCCTAAGATCTTCTCTGTAGTTCCCATTCAGACTGCATGGACTGGGCAGGGAATAGACTATCCTGCTGTTTCTTTCAGTAGTGCTGCGCCTGCTGAAATAGTATACTGTGTTTGCAGTCAGTCGTACTAAAAGAAATTTTCTTAGGCTTCTTTGGAAGGAGGTTTCTTAGCCTAACTTCTTGTAAGTTACAAAGCTTGTGGTTGTTTGTAGAGTGTTCTTGTGTGACTTAACTTTTTTTTTGTTGTTTTACCGTACCTGACTTCAATGCTTTCAATGTAAAGCAAAGTAAACCGGGGTGCACATACTAACCTTGAACTGTAGCTTTTTGCATTTGCCTGTGGCTACTAAGTTTTCACTCTAAATCGCATCTTGTTCAGTCTGGATATTGCTGTTACACCATCACTTAAACTATGGGGCCTAAGATACTTTTCAGGGAGGCTAAGCAGCTGAGTGATCAGGAGCAGGCAGAAGAAAGGAATGAAGCAGAAAGGCTGGAAAAATACCCGTAATAGGCAAAGAAGCAGAGCAAGGAGGTGTTTATGCTTGTTGGATGTATGATACGGAACCTCTGAATGGCAGTTCTTCCTCCAAAAAATAGTAAGGCCTAGAGATTTTTACCTGCAGTGGAAAAAGCAAGAGTGGTAGGTGAACTGTAGAGAGCAAACAAGCCTGAGACTGACTTATTCTGTGTTAGCTGCAGCCTTATACCTTGGCATATGCTTTGGCTAGTTCATCATGACTTCCTAGAGTTAATTTCTTTCTCCTTTATCTTTAACCTTATAAATCTTATATTCAGATGTTTCTTAAGCTCTTAAATAATACAGCTTGTATGATAATTTTATTGACTTAATTTCAAGGCAATTGTATTTCTAAATAGAGGTCTTGAAAGACATTATCTTAATGTATCTATGGTGCTTTACTTGAACAGTTGAGGTTTCCATAAAATGCTGACTGGCTGTTATCACTTAAGTGAAACATTTAATACGCAGGAAAGGGATGGCTCCTTGCAGTTGGTCAAAAGTAATGCCTTGGGGAGGACCTTCAGAAATGGGTTATCAACACTAGTATTTAGTAAATGAAGTTGAATTAATCCTGACCATTTGGGGAAGTAACCACAGTCACTAGACTGGAAAGATTGTTGTAATTAACTGAGCTGCAAATGGCTAGTTTTAAAGCTGTTCTCCGTCATGCTCATACTAACAGAATTTTCTTACAAATTTGCTAAACATGTAGAATAGCTAGAAATACTCCTTTTATTTTTAACCCTGTATCAAGTGTAACAAAGGCGAACTTGACATTTGTGTGTTCAGCATACATAAATTTTCTTGGTTCATTTTTGATTTTTGGTTTGTTTATTTTGTCCTTTTTTCCTTCCTCCCCCTCTGTCTATTATGTAGAGAAGCTGCAGGCAGTTTTGCAAATTTCCAAGCCGCAAATGGAGGTCTATAATGACAGTACTAACCTGGCATGCCGCAATGGACATCTCCAGTCAGGTGGGTTTGGTTTTACCAGCGCCTATTAAGGGGATGTCTCTAAGTTTCTGATGTATTGCAGGGAAAAATAATGCTATATTCTGGCCCCACCAACTTAAAAATACATAAATACATAAAAATTTGTTTTATATTTCTGTTTTAAAAGGCTTTATATAAAATAGATTCCTTTCTGTGGCTTTGATAACTGTTCTATAGTATTCAGTTCTCTTACAATGACTGTCCTAGAATCCAAAACTACTTACTAAAGCCAACACTTCAGTAAATATTTTTCATGTTACATTCTTAAAGGAATTAAATTAAACCTGTTCTAGAAAGTGTCAAAGGCAGTGTACTGTAAGTAATATTGTGCCTACATAAGTAGTTCTTCCTTTATGATACTGTGAGAGTGAATGTGCTGCTTTAAATTTCAGGGGTTTTTTACTCCGAGAAACAGATGCACAATTAAAATAAGGTGGGGCAAACAGCTGTTACTTTTTGTAAAAGAAGGTTGTTTTTATTCTTTCCCAGAAGACTGCACCAGGGATGCTAAAATAACAAAAATAAACTTGCTTCTCCATACACAAGGAGTAAAGTTGCCTGGAGGTTTGTGAATTGTCTTCATGGAATGTTTTAAGCCAGCAGTACGCTTTGTCACAACTGAGATCTCGACTGATATTTTGTACAGTAGACTGCAGTGTGAAATAAAGTGGAGCAAACAGGCAATGGAATTTATAAATCTTGTCTTTTAAGTCAAGAGCAGTATGCAGTTTTTAAAGCAACTAAACAATATGCCTTTTCTAGCTCCATTTCTAGTTCTGAACTCATTCTGCTGCTTGGTTTTATTCTTTATGATGTATGAGAGGTTAAAGTAGTGGAACTATGTCATGTTAGTCACCTGTACGTTACTACATGTGTGGTATTTTTAACTGCATTTGTCAAAAAGATGTAGTTAAAATGGCTTTTCAGTACAAGTTCCTGTGTAGATTGACCTTGAGTACCCTTTACCTGAAATGACCAAATACAACTCCTGTCTTTTTACCTGGTTGGCTGGAGATTGAATGAACAAATACATATATATACACACAAAAGCTTATAACATGCTCTGTTTGATTAAATATGAATAGGTTTTTCTTTAAACTCTTTCCTTGATATTTTTTGTGCATTTTTCTCAACATATTTCACAATTGGATGCTTCAGAAGCTTGGACTGAACTTTCACTCTATTTGTTAAACTATTAATTAAATCTGTTAGTAACAAAGCATAAAGTATCCAATGGCACGTACTTGAAATGAAGAAACATGTCTGCCAGTTCTTTGGCAGCTGTTTTTCACAGAAGTTCCTGTAGCAGGAGGTGGTCACTGTTGATAAACATAGAAAGTAGTGTTAGTCAGTTTACCCATTTGGAGTCATACTTCTGGTGGTTTATAGAAGATGAATCGCTGAACCACTTATGCAAGACTGTGGAGGAAAGGGTAGCGAAGCAACAGTGAAGGGCCATGGTCTTATGGGGATGCTTTTTTCTGAGAGTCCTCGCACTTTTTGAAAAGGAGTGCAGGCTAACAGGGGCACTTTAGTTTACCAGACTTAGGAGGATCTGAGGAGACACAGAAGGACTAAAGAGTCGGTCATAAAAAAGAGTTGGGTACCAGGTGTCCACCGATTACTTTGAATGAGACTTCACAAGAGGCTTGTTCCATCTCTATTTGCATTTACAATGCCAGAGGTAATCTTGAGATTCATAACTTGTGAAAGTCAGAAGTTTAACCTAAGGACTGAACTTCTGCAGCTGTGGGATCCCTGATAGTACCAGGGAAGTCAGCCTGTTAGCAGTCATCTGAATTTCCTAACTGGCTGGTGCCCATGCTCCCATGCTCAGGCGCTCTGTCTCTTTTTTTTGTGGAGGGGTGTAGGGAGAGGGAGTTTTGTTTGTAAGAACATGTTCCTTCTACACTTCTTAGAAGTACTGCAGAAGTTTTGCTTCAATCCACCAATCTTGCTCTTATTATTTCTTTATACATGTTGTAATAAAGGTGGTATTTTCACATGGAGAGCTGCAGTCATTTAAAAATACAAAGTAGACCACAAATTCTTAGAAAACTACAAAACCAGCTTGCAGGCTGTTTGAGATAAGACAACTGCTGTTACTGGGAGAGGCTATTTGAGATAAGAGGACTGGTGACACTGGGAAAATAGAGGTATACTGCAGAGGTGCTGAGCCACAGGGCTCTGGCATAAACTTCATTTTTCTGTCAGATTGGGCATTTTTAAAGTCCAGGCTGTTATGAAGTATGAAACGTGGTGCAGTTTTAACATCAAGCAAATGCTTTTTAGTGTGTTCTTTGGTCAGAAAGTGCTTTGCTTTTTCATATGCCTTTAAAGGCCAAACCTTTACGGATGTGTTTGCTTCATAGTTCTTTAGGATATTCTGTTCTCACACCTATACTGCATGGTTTTTGTATTTACAGAGTGTTACCAATTTGAGATACTTTTTCTTCTCTCAAGGGACTTTGTCAGCTTTTCAGGCCAATTTACTTGATTCTAGCACCAATGACTAAATATCCCTGTCTTCCTCATTCGTACTTAACTTACCTGAATAGCTAGTGATTTTCTTTGACAATTTATCTGATTGATAGATTTATAATGAGGTTTTATAAAACATCATTGCAGCAGTATCACCTGCCTTTCAGTTGCAGAAGGCTACGCAGTAACTGTCTTAAGACCCAAAACTTTACTTCTAAATACATATTTATTATTTAATATCCATCACTCTTGTTCTCATAGCAGTCTTAAATTAGATGTGAAGCATTTTAACTGTTGGCTTTTTTCCAGACATGCATGTTTTCCTTTGCATTATGACTTGCTGGTTTTTGTTTTTAAAACAGCTTGGGAAGGAGCTTATGCCAGTCTTGCCAAGCAGTGTTTGAGTTTTGTGAACTCACTTACTAGGCATACAGTACTGATAGTAATAATGCGATTCCAGTGTACCTTTTTACATTTAACGTGTAAATCTCGGTGTGGTAGATGATCAGACAAAGCATTACATTGTTTCTTACCACAGCATTAGCACTGTGGAAATAGCTAATCTATCTCAGTTTTCACTTGGATAGAAGTTGCTAGCATGGCTTTAATAGTAGGCATATGTTGGCAATATTTTTCAAGTCACAAAAATTCTGTTGATACTGAAGGTTTTTAAGGAGCTTCCGAAGTAGAAGAGCAAGTAGCAGTAAGATGGTTTTTAGCACCATAATTTGGCAACAGTAGGTCTTTGACATGTCTGTCGGCTACATGACTACATAGCTCCTACATAGCTACTACATAGAACTCCCTGATCTAGATAGCTATGCTGTCATTTGAAACATGGGGCATGTCCTTGTTATTTACTGAAGCTTTGTGCTAGGTAGATTTTATTATTTGAATCTACCTATCTGAAAATATAATACAATATTTGAAGGAATTTTGAATTCTCTGAATATTATCTTTGAAGGAATTGCTATTTTGGGGGCTGCTGTGAATGTTGAAATGCAGGAAAAAATATAGCTAAGAAGCTTAAAGATTTTTATTTTTTTTTATAAAATTATGTACATAAAGTTACAGATAATTCTGCAGCACTGAATTATTTTTCCCAGCTTGGGGCCCACAGGCAGCATAGAATAACTTGTCTTAGTCACTTTACATTAGATCTCAATAGGCATAGGTAAGGAATTTCTGAGAAATGTTCCCTGATGTTTTTGGTTTTTTTAAGGTGTCACAACTTAAGGCTGGAAACAGTTTTGCAAGACTAGAATTGCCACTGCTTGTTTAAGTTAAGAATTGCAAGGATGCTTTCAGGGCCAGATAGTTACTATGTCTGTATAATCCAGTGGTGTCAGCTTGGAGCTTTAATGTACATTATTCTGTCCAGTCAAGAATTGGAGAGTGGAATCCAAATGATCAAGCCTCTATTGCTATTTTATAAGCATATATAAAGCAGACAAGTGAATCATTCAGTGTTTTGAATACACTTGAAAAAAAAACCATAGTTTTTGTGATCAGAAGATATTTCAGACACTTCCTTACTGTTTTATACAGAATGGGGAAACATTTGGCAAAAAGCTGCTGGAGATATTACAAAGGTTTTAAGGTCACTTAGAACGTATTTTCAGTCTTTTAGCAGATAATGAATACAAATAGGTAAGAAATGTGTTTGGGGGGGTTCCGCATTTGTTGCAGCAAAATGTATATCCTATGTAATGAAATGGGCTGTAAGTCTGAAAAGTGCGACGCATGTGCACTTAAGTACTTAATGCTTCAGCAATAGGTAAACTTTAGATAGACTGTAATTCGGAAAAGTTTGATTGCATTTTTATTTGCTGTTTCAATGAAAATGTTTATATAAAATTACATTTCCCTCTGGAGTTGACACAGAACAACTATGTTCAAGAGCAGTTCATCAGTGCTTCTTTCTGTGCTACCTGGTGGGACTGACCACAGAACACGTGTAAACTTAGTGGTCTTGATTCCTGGAAGTACAGTTAGAGTGAACTCTAATTTGTATTTAAAACTTCCCCTCTCCTCCCTGGCACCTAATTCCAGCTTCTTGAAATACTCCTTACCTGTGCAATTTTATGATACTCAGAATTGCTCTGTCTGTGTGTGTGTGTGTGTGTGTGTGTGTGTGTGTGTGCATTGTTCTCAATGGATGGGGGTAATTCTGGGAAAGTGTGATACCTTAGCAACATGTTAGGGTGAAGGAGATGGAGAAATGCTGCTTTAGCTTTTTGATGCCTTCCTGTCTTGACTTTTAAGCCAGCTGTGCAAATGAGACTGAAGGAAAATAAAACAAACCCCAGCGAATAAACCAGAGCGCCACCTTTGATTAAATTGGACCATCGAAGTCCTGAGTAGCTAGAACTTTTTAATAGGTTCATAGACTGCATTTTGAACTTGAAAGTTACTACGTATGCCTAATTTTTAATAGTTTTTTGACTTAGAAATTCCTGTTCAGGAATGACTAAATTTAACCTGCTCTGGATCTGTGTGTGATTTAGTCACTAGCCAGTTTTGGTTTTGGTTTTCAAGAAATATCTTACAGGTGAATGTAGTTAATTATGTTTTTTATGTTCCCTTGGTTTTTTGCATGTTGATACCTCTGCATTTTTTATTATGACACCTGCAGACTTTCTGTAACCCTTAAAGGGGATAGATTAGTGACTCTAGAAAGGCTTTAGAAGCTTGTTAGCCAAGTAGTTCAACACATGGATAACTGCAGGCTGTATAAAGATTTGCTCCTGGTAGTATGCAAGAGGCTGAGAACATAGTAGTAATTAATCGATCCTCCCACAATACTGTTTCACTGAATTCTTATTTGAGTATTTTAAGCACATCATTTAAGACTGAGGCTTCCTACTTCAAGTATTTTTCACTGAACTGCAGTATTGTAAGCTAAATTTTTTCATAGTCATTAACTTCTTTAAAAAGCTGGGTTCTTTGGCCTGTATCTTAAGACTAACAAGTCAAACTGAGTAGCAGATTTCTAGAATCTTAGTGAAAAAACTTGTAGCCAAAATCCATCTTGAGCTTCCTTAACTCTTATGCCATATTTCCCTTACCTAATCAAAAGGCTTCTTAATCCTTCTACAAGGATGTATAGTTTCCATTGCAGATAACAGTGCTGTACTAGACAGCTAGCAGTACTGTGTTCCCACCACAAAAAATACCCAGTCTGATGCTATGCTCTAATCATTAACCAGCGTGACCAAACTGCCTGCTCACTGTAGCATGTTCTTCCCTCTTAGTAGTGTTTCACACTTGCCGTTTCTGTGCCGAGGAACTTTATCCCATATGAAGTACATAGAAATCAAGTGCTATTTCACTTACTCTGGACCAAAGTGGCCTTTTGTACTTTAATTGCCTGTGGCAAATATTAACTTTCATCTGTCACGTCATTTGAGAACTTCCTGCTCTGTCACAGAAGTGAATTAGAGTAAGTGTGAACAGAATGGGTGGTGGTGGTTGGACTCAGTGGTATAATACAGTATTTTATGACTTAATTTTAAATGTAGGAGGGTGTAGCCATTTCAGAGTTTACTTCAGAATTTATTTACTTATCACTTGAGATTCCTGAAGTGAAGCAAAGTTGTAAGAAAAACCTCCTGGCAGTTGTTTGCAGGTATAACTATTTTAATATTCCCAGTTCAAAGTTCCTTGGTGAAGCATCTGTGTGGAAGGGGCTAGGTAATGTGAGCTAGCTTCCAGAGTAACTAGCCTGCTGTCATCACTAAGGAGTGAATGCTCTGAATCTAATGGCTTCAAATTTGGTGATCATTATAATGGTGTTTTTAGGAAGCCTTGGGAAGGAAAAATCTTCTGGCTTGTGTTCTGTCTTAAGGAGTAGATGATGTTCTTCCCTTGTTACAGGACTTGTCTGTCGCCAGCTTCTCTAAGATGGTTAACTAGAACTGGTTTTAAAATCCCCTAAAAATCAAAGATTAATTTAGGAGAGAGCTGCAGTTAATATCCCATTGAAAGTACTAAACCTCTTTAAAAAGTAGTGTTATTCTGCTATAATACATGTCAACAATACTATCTGCAAGTTAGAATCAATGGTAAAAGCATGACGGGTGAAAATATTCTCATGGCACTGGTTTTCTTTATAGAAAGTGGAGCGGTTCCAAAAAAGAAGGATCCCTTAGCACACACGAGTAATTCCCTTCCTCGTTCAAAAACTGTTGCAAAAACCGGATCCACAGGCCTTTCAGGTCACCACAGAACACCTAGCTACAGTGGGATATCATCATCTGTGTCTAGACCAACACCTAACCCTGCAGCTTCAGCTCACAAGGTATGGCGAAGATAAATGTAGCAGTATACACTTGGAAACTCAAACTCAATGTAAATTCCAGTACAGACTTTAGAGTTAGTGCCTTTATTGCAGTATTGTAACAGCAGAAAGTTCGTAGAAAAAAATCTAAAAGCCTCTTGAGCTGCGCTGCAGAGTGGATTTTGGAAATCACGGGGCTTAGAGTGGCTGCATGGGCAAATAGACTTCAAGGGGCGTTGCAGTAATTAATAATACTTGTTTTGAAACTTGCATGGAAAACTGAGGGAAGCTTATCTAGGAGAAAAATAAATGTTACTCTGAGTACGTAAAAGATGGAGAAACAGAACTACAGATTTTCTCCTCATGTTCCTTCTCTTTCAAAGCGTACATGCAGAGGTTGTATTGCACCCACATTGAAAAGCAAGTTATGGTTAGGTTGTGACTGAAATACAAAACTATAGTAATAAGACGGAAAACCACTGCATTTCTTTGACCTGTCTTTTTTCATTCCCTCCTTATCTCCCGCACTGCTAGTCCACAGTAAAGCGGAAGTGATAAAAAAATTGGAATGGACAAAACATAAATGCAGTTAAACATTATTGTTCCTATGATTTGAAGGCTTTTAAGTGGCCAGTTATCAAAGTGTAGGACAGCAGTAGAAATTTTTGCTTATAAGTATTAACAACCTGAAACTGTGATGCTCTATTTCTTGAGTATGCTGGGCGAAGATACTATTGCTAAATATCAAGAATTATCTTACAAACAAACAAACCAAAACAAAAAGCCCGTCACCTCTGGAGCCTGAGATTCACCTGTGGCTGAATATGATATTATGATTCGTAGCAAAATAGGGCATCAGAATATCTAGTACTGGTTACCCTATTAGGTTTTACTGGAGCAAATGAAATGAAGATGTAATTTTGTTAACAGTATGCTTTAAAAATATCAAGCTGTTTTTGTTTGGTGTTTTCCGCTACCTCTCCAGGTTGCTCCTAAAAACAGTAGAACAAATAAGCCGTCTACTCCTACCACTGCTCCTCGAAAAAAGAAAGACTTGAAGATACTTAGAAATGTGGACAGTAATCTTGCTAATCTTATCCTGAATGAAATTGTTGATAGGTAAGTCTGAAGGAAAAGTAGGTTTCTCAGTGCAGAAAAACAGGTTTTTATTCAGTGCAGTTTTGATCCATGTGGAATTAAATCAGTACTTCTAGTTTGTTGTGGATTTGGGGGCGGGGGGGGGATTGTTTTGGGTAGGATTTTTTGTTGTTGTTACGTTAGCAAAAGGATGAAAATTTAAATGCTTATTTCTTAAGAGCTTAGCAATGTAAGTTGTAGATTTCCTCAGAAGGGTTCTGTATCAATAGTCAAATGCATTAAATTAGTCAGCTGCAGCTGAAAAAGACTATCTCATTGTTAGACTAATTAGTATTCCATTTCTTTGTTAGTGGGCCAGCTGTCAAATTTGATGATATTGCAGGGCAGGAACTGGCTAAACAAGCTTTGCAAGAGATTGTTATCCTTCCTTCTCTTAGACCTGAGGTAAGCAACTGGGTGTCATTATCAGCCTGTGACAGAATGAAAAAAATGTATTGTGCTTCATACGTGAAATGGTGATTCTTGAATCCTGTCTTTACTGGGTTATGATTGCTGTTGATCACTGTCTTGGGAAAAGAGAGTTAAGAATGCGTGTGTTAAAATTCTACCGTGAATTTCCTCATCTTCTGGTTAATCAATGGTCAAAACCAAACCCAAGCCCAAAACAAACCATCAAACCGCAAAGTCCTAAAACACCAAACAAAACCAAAAAATTCCTGAAAACTTGTGCAGCTGGCTGTTCCAGGTAGGTGTAGCTGTGTGTCCAACCCTGTATGGACATGTAAAAGAAAGCACAGAATCAGAAGAGTGAAACAGAGGAGATTGTATAGGTAAATTAAGTCATGTCACAATCTGATTTGAATTGTGTTAAATTGATACTGTGGTCATGTTCTGTGTGTGGATGTTGGTTAGATGTTCCAGATAGTCTATTCGCAGCAGGAGAGGATGCAAAGAAATGTAGTGAACAAGCAAATACACTGAGAGCAGATTGCCTCTTTACTTGGCTGTGTGGAAATTGGTCACTTAGGCTTTAGTTTTATTTATCATGGGTAGTGCCTCAATTCCTGTGCCTGTCTAGGTCCAGGTCTCATCTATGTGCTGCTGGAGTTTTCAGAGACACTTTGGGGTGGGGGGAATAAAAGTTTGAAGGCTCTGGCAGATACTGCATGCAGTGATTTACTGCAGTGCTCATGATTCAAACAAAGTTGTTGTTTGTTCTTTGTTTGTGGGTCTCACTTGTCACATTGACGGGTGACCGAAGTTGTTCTGTGTTCTTCCTCTTTAATATAGTTCCTGGTTTTGAAGCATCATGGGGAAGAAACCCTAAACCTGGCATAGCATCACAGGAATACCAGGCCTGAGCAAAACAAAGCTTTGATATTAAATATGCAAGCTCTGGTACTGTAATGCAGAAAGAAAATGTCATTGTACAGTGTCTGTTATTACAGTGCTTTAGTATGTCAAGTTTGTTGTTCAGTAACACTAATACAATGAGCTGTGTGGGAAGTACTTTGGGTGAGGTTTGGAATAGTTAGTTGGTGTTTCCAATAAGGTCATCTTTGTATTATTGTAGCTAGCAGTAGGCCTGACCTTGGTGTTGAGATATAAAAAAGACAGAAAATTCTGTGAATTTTTAAATGTTCTTTGGAAGAAAAGAGGTTGGTTTTATTCCTTGTAAATGAGTGTGGTAGATGTGGCAACTATAAGGGAATATTTAATAAATTAAATACTAATTCAGTTTTAGCCTTCATGAGTTTTGAGCTCAAATTCACATTTAAACAAGTCAATGAATTGTATTTTTGTAGGAGAGCAAGAGGTGAGGTGATTAAACAGAAAACGGTGGCTGCAACCATTTCAGCAGTAGGATATGAATCATAGAATCATATAATAATTAGGGTTGGAAAGGACCTTAAGATCATCTAGTTCCAACTCCCCTGCCATGGAATGGTAGCCATTAATTCAGACCACATTTAATATGATTAGTCTATTAACAAAAATGTTAGAAGCTTAGTGTGTCTCAGTGATAAATGGCAGTTGCAACTGAACTGTGTAGGTGATGATCAAGGTGAGGGATGGTTATAGATTCAGTCTGGAGTATGAGAAAATGCTGGAACTCCCAAAGAATGATTCCAAACAAAAGGGGTCAGGCAGGAGATGCATGTGGTGGTGTGCAGCACAGAAAGCAGAAATGCTGAGGAATGTAGTTATCCAGGTTAAAATGCTGCAATATTGAACATAGGTGGTATGTATTAGTGAATACAGTTTGGCTGGATAACTATTTTTAGCGATCAAAGTCAAACATAAACAAAATGCTGTGAATGATGAAATGGTAAAAGCATGCATGTTGGTTGGTCATCTCAGAAACACTACACTGGTAAGAGTCACTTGTTGTCATGGACATTGTGGAAAAGAATGCCTGCTGACAGTGATGTGTATATTTGAAATGCCCTACTGTTCCTTTTGGTTGACTGTTGGAATTGTTGGAAGCTGGAATGGAGGGGGGGAGTGTGAGACCAAAGAAGGAACTCCAGAACTCATGAGGAAAGTGGTAAAGACAAAGTGCTGGGGAAAACAGGAATAATTAAAATACATGTACTCTGGATTTGTAGACTTGCTTGCTGTGATGCTACACGTGATGGGTGCAGAGTAGGAAGGATGAGTCCAATACAAAATGAGATTATCAGCAGCATTTAGAAAGCGTAGGTGGTTGTTAAGTAATATTTTAAATAGTTTCAGTCAAAGCTTCCTAAGTTTCATTTCATAAGAGAGAGTTCTTCCATATGGAGTTAGTAAGAACACTGCTTTAACTACACACCTGCGTTCCCCCACTTTTTAAATCAAATTGATGCTTTATCTTGTTCAGCTGGTCTTTGTTGTGGGAAGTATTCAAGCCTTTTATGCTGCTTTCATAGTATGTCTATCCACAGAACAATCATAATGTAATTTAACTGTTGTGTGGGAAACCATAGTGATGTGCATTAGGTCAGGTTAGTAAAAGACTGTGGTTCTTTAAAACCCTGTATTGTTGTAGCACTGCTACCATTGCTACCACAGGTAGCCAGTAAGCCATACCTCAGTCTTAAACCATTTCCTTACAAATGTAAGGTAACACTTTTTCTAAGTGGAGGTAACTTATGATGATGTACTTTTCAGTTATTTACAGGACTTAGGGCTCCTGCACGTGGTTTATTGCTGTTCGGCCCACCAGGGAATGGGAAGACAATGTTGGTGAGAAAACTACTTCATGCATGAGTTGGTGGGCTTATAATGTAACCATGAAGATGGCTTTCAGTTTGGGTGTTGTAGTAATAAACTGTGTATTCTTCCTGGATAAGTGTTATAGTGTCAATTTAATACAAAAATGCAAAATTGTTGTTGACTGTGGATGTTACGTGGGAGGCAACTGGTCAACTGTTCTCTGTTTAACTATTTTCACTATCGCAAATAATATCTTAAAACTTAAACCAGCAAGTCCAAGTTTAATTTTCAGAGATAGTCAAAGACATGGTTAATTGTTCGTATACAGCAGTGATTAACAGCAAATGGTTTGCTCTGCACTAAACATACTGAAAGTGCATTTTGGAAATGGAGAGGGAGCACAGCAGCAAGAAGGGGGGTTTCTCACTTCCATGCTGCTGTATAAAGAGAGTAAGTTGTGGAATTGGCTGCTGCTTGTTCCCTCAGCCTGACAAGCTAGATTCGGGGAACTGGAAGGAAAAGGCTGTGCATCAACCAGGGAGCATCGGGTGTACTGATGCAGCTGAGCTGGGAGCATCATCCTGCATCACATGGTGTGGTGCAGCTGCAAGCTCCCTTTGCTAATACGGAAGCTGGATCAGCTCTGAAGCACAGGGGTGTGAATGTTGAACAGCTTGCTTGGGCTTAGTAGTTGTGGTTTATGTACTGGGATATAATTGCTAATCACTGAAATTACACTGTATAACCAGGGAATTGTAATTTCTTGAATATGGTGAAACTGTTGAGGGTACTGTGTGTGAGCATTATGGCTGTTCTAATTTTTTCCTAGCTCTCCTCTGAAAACAGTTTTTGTGTAGATAGAGTAACGAGGGAAAAAAAATAACCACCATAATTTTTAATGTGATTTGATCTAACTGCTGCCCTAAATTACCACCCTAAATTAGTTAAAACTGCCTCTCATGTCTACTTGGGATACATTGGAAGAAGCTGGAGACTTGTATTCTTCAGTAAGCAAGTTGTAGTTGACTATGGAGATGATGTGATTAGAGAAGTTCAGGCGAGTCTGGAAATTCTCTAGTGGTTTGGCTGCTTACCTGTTCTTATTTGTAAGTGGCCTGTATGGAATTTTTCAGTATTATCTACAAAGTGTTCCCTTTGAAGGAATAGAGGTTTTCAAAATCATCAATCAGGACATAAGTGCTAGCTGCAGAAGCAGAGAGGTATCTTCAGTGTGATGGTTCTGAAAGTACCTTCTTTTTTTCTTTCTTTCCCCCTGTCTCCTAGGCCAAAGCAGTTGCTGCAGAATCTAATGCTACTTTCTTTAATATAAGTGCAGCGAGCCTAACTTCAAAATACGTAAGTAGCAGCTGTAAATTACATCGATCTGAAAATGCACATGCTGTAATTGAGGCTTAAGAAGTCCTTGGTGAACTTTTAGCCTGTAGTGAAAGGAAAGCTTTAAAGTGACTTGTGAAGTAAAAATATTTGGTTTGTGATAACTCGGTGTGAAAGGCTTTTGCAGTTCAGGATAACCCTGGCTGCCTTATCAGTGGTGGTGGTTTTTTTCTTCTTTAAAAAGTAAATGAAGTGGGTGCCAGCTCCCTTTCATTCTGATAACTTAGGCACCAAAATCTCTTCACAACTCATTCATGATCATAAGTGAAGTTGTAATCTTTCTTTTAAGACATAAACAATACTGTCAAATGTAATACTGAACTACTGATGATCTGAGTGTGTATGAATAGACTGACTGTGTTGGGTTATCAGCAAGATTTCTTGTAGGTCCTTATGTTAGCTGTCTTGTAATAGACACTTTCTAAATCTCCTGCAAAAACAGTTTATTGTTGTTTTAGGTGGGTGAAGGGGAGAAACTGGTGCGTGCTCTATTTGCAGTAGCCAGAGAACTTCAGCCCTCTATAATATTTATTGGTAAGACCTTAAATATTGTTGACTTCTATATATTTTCTTAAATAGTTTGATTTATTAAATTAGAGTAATTGTGTAAACTTCTTTGTGTAGTTCTGCAGTGGAGAGTGTCTCACCTATGACTGGCTGTCTAATTGGTAGTTGCATATAAAGCATGTTAGGTTACTGTTAAGTTACTTAACTGGTGTTAATAATGGGAAGAAATGCCCTCAAAAATACAAATGCTGTGCCTTTTATGATTATAGTTCAAAGATGAAAATGGATTTTGCTTGTCCTGAGTTGCATTTTATTATCAGCAGGGTTTTTTTTTTCCCCACCTCTCATCTGTGATTGGTGTTCATATTCAAAGGACAACACATTATACCAGCTTTTAAATTTTACTAAGGTCTGTCTGTCTCCTGCATAATGAAGATCTGATTTCTCTTACTGGAGCCCTATATTAGCAAAAGAACTTGGATAAATATAAAGCTGTTTTGATGTTATATGCTTAATTAAGATGGCTTTTTTTGTTTTGTAGATGAAGTTGATAGCCTTTTGTGTGAAAGACGAGAAGGTGAACATGATGCTAGTAGGCGTCTAAAAACAGAATTTCTAATAGAATTTGATGGTGTAAGTATCAAGTCTTAGGTATTGTTTGATTTATCTGAATCGGCTAATGTAGTGCCAGTGCATGCTACAGGTGAAGCACAAAGAGGATTTGGCTGCTGGGGCTTAGCCCCATACCCCTCCTCCCCACCTTGGCTGGCAAACAGGTTTTACCTATACCTGTTAATTTTTCATCTGCATACTGGGGTGGAAGGCAGTAATCTGGAGGCGAGCTGAAATAATTGATTGAAAGGTTAACAAATAAGAAGAGTCGTGAGAACCAGTGTTCATACAGGGCAAGAGGGACACTTGAGGGTTAGGCAGAATTGAATCCTTGTTTGTAATTGAATATTTTGGTAAAGCACATCTCTTCATTTGGGCAAAGTGAAACAAGGTTAAATAACTTTCAAATACTGTCTCTTTAGGTTTTAAGTGATACATGTCACAAAAGCACGTGCTGTCAAGGTGAGACTTGAAAGCTGAGGATTTCAGACTAGTTCAGATCATGGGTATATGTAGCTCTGACACATCAGAAGGATTAATTTCTGTGTTAGTATGCTGCTTCTTGAGCTGTAAATTTTTTCTTGGCATTGTGACCTAGAGATGACAGGATACAGTTAAGAATATATTTAATAGCACATATGTAATAGGAAAGGGAACTGGATTTCATAGTTGGGACACACACACAAATGAGTATCAGAATATTTTTGTCACGCAGCACTGTTTTGTACTGATCAGTCTTTGATTAGCATATGGAATATTGCTACAGTGGTGAGGCAATAGTAATGAGGTACAGGAGAATTTATATTCCTTCCATTTTTATTTTTCTTTTTGCTTATTTCTGGTTTGAATTTACATTTACCTAAAGCATGTTTTAAAGCTAGCTGTATGAGGGGGGGGAGTGCATATACAGTAAGACCCCATAAGTGTGCTGAATACACAGGAAGTCCTTAACTGGTTTTGTTGTGTTACTGCTTGATGTAAATTGAAAGCTGTCTTGCTTTCCTATGTTATATAGGTGCAGTCTTCTGGAGAGGACAGAATACTTGTGATGGGAGCAACAAACAGGCCACAGGAACTTGATGATGCTGTTCTCAGGTATCAAAATGTCTCTTCCTTTGATGGAATACAATAATATGAAGTTCATTACAAAGAGCAGGTTTTGCTACTTAGTGTCTTGGTTACTGTAAGTTTTGGAATAAGCAGCAAAAGCTGTTCAGGATGGTTGAATTATTTAACCTCACCAAAAAGGTGTCTGTCTCTTCTTTTCTGAGATGCATCTGCAGAAGCATAATGGCTTTGGAATTGTCCAAACCCGCAGTACCTCTTGATACCAAGTCAGCACCTTATAAGCCTCTTCTACGTTACATATTGCTGCTTTATTATTTGGATTTCAATGGCAGGATGAAGAAAGAAATTTGATCAGTGAAATCCAGCATTTCTTCCCTGTGAATAGTGGACTTCCAATGTCTCATGCAATTACAGATCTTGCTGTAGATTTGCCTTAGGACTTTTTTTGCTACAGGTTCTCATGCTTTCCTCTCTTCATTCTTGATTGAGGCATGTCAGCAGTATCTGAACAAACAGAACACATTCTTAATGATTCCAAAGGCTTCTTGTGTACAATGAAGAGATGCTTAATTTTGTTGCTGGTAGTCAGTGGTATTTCTACCTTTTAGAGTGCTTCCTCTCTGGGATGGGTCCTGTAACTTTGAGTAAAGTGACACCAGTGGCTAGTGCATATTGTTTGTTTGGTGTTGGTTTAGGTTTTTTTGTCTGGTTTTTTAATTTGTAGTTCTACTCCTAGAATTTGATGAGGTAAGTGAAATTTTGACATCAAACCAAAACACCCTGTATGAGTGTGTGTATACATGTATATGTTGTTTTTTTTCCTAGACGATTCACCAAACGGGTATATGTGTCTTTACCAAATGAGGAAGTAAGTATTATTTTCCATGCATTTTCTTAATTTTAAGATCAGTTTAAATAAAAAAAAAAAGAGTATAAAATCCAGTTCATAGGCTATTCTTGATTACCGTTCTGTGAATTAACTTCTGGCCCAGCATGGCCATATAAATGGTGTTTTAATTTTGGTGGCTATATTAAATTTTGGTGGCTATGTTAAATTTTGGCCTTTTGTTACACGTGTCAGTAGCAAATTTGGTGGTAAGTACTCAGTATTTCTTGGCTAGCAAGATGCTAGTTACATACTGGCAGGCACAGACAAGTCTGAAGTAGGGCTTGCAAGAGCACGTTTGGTTGGCTGGAGAAAACTACTCATTGCAAAAGATGAAAGGAGCTTTCTTAAAGGTTTTCATCAACAGCAGATTAGGGCTTTTGATGAGGATTCTAATGTATTATTCTTGAAGTAGTTTGACCCTTGATCTCCTTATTAACCAGTCCCTATCCCTTCTCCTGAAGAGATGACAGTTTACAGTCCAATCAGCAAAGTACTGTAGGCAGGTTTAAACTGGTGAAGCATGGAAGCTAACCTGATGAACGTGTAGTTTTGTGGTTGCAACAGAATTTTAAGTACATTGTGAAAATGAGTTTTCCATCTGATAAATGTATGTTCTTTTCAGACAAGATTGATTTTGCTAAAAAATCTTCTAAGCAAGCAAGGAAGTCCATTGACCCAAAAAGAGTTGGCACAACTAGCTAGGTAAGCAGCTTGTAACTATACTACATAAATATATTCATCTACTGCATTCATTCAAACTTTTATATGTTCAAAATGTAACTAATGTAAATCATCAGATAGTGACAACACTTGCCGTGAATGAATTGGATGTGTTTTGGGAAGATGGTCTCCTGTCAGGCTCTGTGAAAGTGGGTTTTTTATATATACATACACATCATTGTTTTTTATCCCACTCCACCTGCTGGGTTTCTGTTGTTAAAACATGCTCATCAGTGCTTTCCTCTCTGAGGTGGAGGGAGGGGAATGCTTCTCTCCACCCATCCCCCAGGCAATTCAGCTCTCTTTCCTGATGAAAAAAGGCAGTGCCAGTTTCACACTTGGTGTGCATTTCAAATCAAAAGCACCTTTTCTTTGCTGGCCCGTTGCTAGGTTTGTTGAAGGTATTAACCAACACAGAGCAAGCAGTGGATAATTCTGGGTTCTTTTCAATTTCATAATTGATTGGAAAAATGTGGGTTAAATGCCCTTATTATTATAAACCAAGTTGGTTTGTTTTCCATCATTAAGATTGACACAGTACTCCTGTTTGTCACCCTCAGAAATTAAATGTAATGGATGTGACGGGAGTTAGACTAAAAGCAGGTAAAGCATCGAGGGCAGGAAGGAATGAAAATCCTGTGAGATCTCAAAAATATGCAGGTATATGTACTTCAGTCTGTTGCTGTCAGTAGTAGTACCCAGCAGGTGAGTACAGTCTTAGATATAGCATTTTTCAGTCTCTTAGTGTTAGTGATGTTACAGAAATATGATGCATAATCCAGCCGAGTAAGTTCTCGAAGGAGGCTAGTTCAGGCCATATTTAGGCTGCAGTATTAGCTAACTGGAGGAAAAAGAGTGTGTCTTGAATTCTGACTGCGGATTTATGAACAAAATTACAAATGGAACCTAAGTACGCTTTTTTAAAAGGGTTTAAAGAAAACAAAATTTGAGGGTTTTGCCTACTTTGCCTGCCATTGTCCTGAATTTCAAAAGAGATGGGTATTTAACCTCCTTCATGACTTCGTGTTCTTTCACTCCTTGGCAATGTTTTCCAAAAACTATAACAGAATTAATACTCTCCAGAAGTCTGGGCTATAGAGTTCTTGTTGCTGCAGCTGGCCAGAGCTCTACAAGCTGAGTGGGGGTGTTTTGGTTTTAAGTTTTTCTTTGGGTAACCCTTACTACTTCTTTTCACCTGTGTTGGCAGTATGTATTACTGGCTTTCTGGTTCAGTGGAGATCTTTAATCTGCAAAGTATTTAATTGCTTAAGTTGGAAATGAAGTAATTCTGGAAAAGCTCCCATAGAGATTGGGTCCTTGGTTTGATTTCCCTCCCTGCTCCTGGTTCTGAGCATCTGGATGATATGTATGTCTGCTAGTCTTACAATAACAAGCAAACCCCAGTAGATAACACAATTTATGTTCCTTTCAGCTCACACAGAATACCTGCACATTTACACTGTATTTCCCGAATAAATGGGAAGTGTGTGCAAATCGAACTTGTACGATCTGTTTCTTTCTGAATAAGGGCCTATTTGCTGTATTTCACTTGCAGGCTGAATTGCAATTCTGAGTTGAAGTTAAATGTGTGAAGTGTTCAGGCTTCTGCAGATAACCACTAAGACTGTGGCTCAGGCTGCTGCGGCCATCTCAAGTCTCTCGGTTCTTGTTCATGAGCAGTTCCAGGTTTAGGCTTTAACATGGAATCAGTTGGTGAGCTGGACTTAACTGTACTAGAGATAATTTTCCATGTATGAGCTATGGGAGGCTGTTTCAGTGTTGTGCTAAGATGCAAAGCATACTGTAAACTCAGATTGTTGAGGAGCTTGCCAAGTACTGCAGGAGTATAGTCTATCTGTTACCAAACCTTAGCACTGAAAAGTCTCCTACCAGAAGTAGCACTGTTTGTGCTGCAACTTGCCAAGTAAAGTGGTGCTGCTTTTTGGATTTGTATTCACTCTTCTGAATTAGAATTTTTCACTCTCTGGAGTTCACTGGTCAGCTGCTAACAGGGCTTTCCACTAAGGGCATGCTGCAAAACTATCACTTACTTTCAAACCTAAACACTGTTGTTAGTGTTTTAGCAAGGCGTGCTTTTGCCCTTTGTTTGCCTCCGATGTCAACTAAAAGTGTGCGTAGCTTTATTCAGAAAACCATTTGTGTGATCACATCATAATGAATGTGTGGTATTGGGTTCTCACTGCATTGTGCGGGTTGAAAGAGTACAGGAGGCTTTGGTTTTATAGTAATTTATGACAACCTAGTGGTAGAGCATCCTTGGAACGGAGAATAGGAAACGTGCTTGAGATTAGTTTTCATCTACAAATCCAAATTGGTTGCTATCTTTTTGCTTTTCTTAGAATGTAAATTGAGATTTGAATATCTGTACTTTAAATTTAACCTGGGAAAGAAATACAGGTCACTTATGCTGACTGCGCTTTCATTATAAAACCTGTGAAACACCAGAATAAAACTACTTCTAATTAAGCTATGTTTTAATCATCTGCAATTAAATTGATACGATCTGAAGTGGGATTTGTTTTTCTTTTTTGTTTTTTTTTTTTTTTTTCTCCCTCGTTTCCTCCACTTTTTCCTTTGACAAAGAATGACAGACGGATACTCTGGAAGTGATTTAACTGCATTAGCAAAGGATGCAGCACTGGGCCCTATTCGAGGTAAGCTGCATAGCTTTTTATTTAGGTTTTGAAAAAACTCAGTGATGTTAAAGATGCTGTATTCTTATGCATCTTTATAATTCTTAAGCACCTGAAATTAATCTTTTTAGATAGGATTTTTGGTTTTTGTAATAGTATAAGACTTACCTTACACAAAACCCTTTAGTAGCTCACTATCTGGAACAGACAATTTTTGTGTCTTAAGAGGAAAGCAGGGTGAAGCGTTATTCACAGATTTGTAGGGGTTTAACTAGTGCATCTTTCCTAGGCTGGTGTCAGTTCTGTTGTATCTAAATTATTACTTGAATCGTAGTCTCTGACTGCATTACTTGGTTTTATAAAAGGTGGGCAGATCTCCTTGTTCTATTAGCTAGGTATTATGTGTCCAGTAGCCACATCTGAAAGGGCTGATGTTGTTCAGTGGAAATCAATAGTGGGATTTTGAGAAGAAAAGTTTGAAGATTTGATGTTAGTTTTCTGTTTGCAGATAGATATATTGTCCTGCCTGACAGAAAGGTACTAAAAGCAGCCAGAGCAGAAGTGTTCTGTAATATCAGTCTATTACGTGTAAATAGAAGTTGTTGCAACTCTCGTAAATAGCTTATGGAGCAGAGAGGCCTGTGCATGTTTTATGGACATGCTTGTTTTACTGTTTTTTTGTGCTTAAAGTCCTGTAATGTGCAGTATTGGCAGTGCATTATCTCTTTAAAAGCAGCTGCTGGAAAGTAATGTTTGTTGGTTTTTGGTTTTTTTTACCCACTTTCTTTCAGCTGTTGAGATTGTAAGGTATATCTTCCAAATTTCTGCATAATAACTGGGAAACAATTGCATTAAATAGCTCTCACCAGAGACATCATGCCTCCAAAGAGTTTGAATATAGAGTGGTTGAATTAATAGTGTATGTGTGGAGGTATGCAGGCTTGACTTTGCTGAGAGATCACTTCATGTGCAAGTCTGTTTTGAGGACTGACTGTGAAATGTCTATTAGATCCCAGCAGTACCGCGTAGGGCAGGAAGTGCTCCTGTATGCCCTGCCTGATTTTATTTCTGTGTTCTTGGCTGCCAGTACCTTTCTGTTGTCTGCAAATTGTGCATGTTTGAGCAGTAAGGGGGATTGTACCAGAAGTAATAGGGGGAAGGCAGCTCTGCACGCTGCTCCCCATACTTTAAGAAGAAGAAAGTAGTTCTACTACCACTTTGTACTTTATCTGCAGTGATGTGTGGGAGGAGCCTTGTTAGGGAGGTGATAAATGGAGATGGAGGAGATAAAAACACCATGCACCTTTCTGTGCAGGACATTACGTTGAGGCAGAGAGATACACTTTATAGCTGTGGAGTTTTTTTCAGAATGAAAGCAACTTTAACATGTTTTAGTTGTCAGATGTCATGAAAGAGTCCTCACAGAACTCGCTGATCTTCCTTTATTTTTCCAGAACTAAAACCGGAACAGGTGAAGAACATGTCTGCCAGTGAGGTATGCTCCTCTAGCAGTTGTACTTTCCCCTTTGAATAGAATGCATGCTCACCAGAAACTTTATAAAGGTCCCTTTATTTATACATAGCATCATACAAAATACCTAGCATAATTTTTGGGGGGTATTACCCTTTCTGATTTCTTATTCACTGGAGAAAATTCTTTGCAAATAGTCATTGAGAAGAGAACATGTTCTCAGATGTCTGAGGTTCTTTGTGTAGCTTGCTGGTAACCAGGCGTAAGAGCACCACCTCTTTTTCTGATAGTAATTTCTTGGTTTCAGTTGACTGTGTTTTTATTCACACTGAACTGCAACTTGCTCTGTTATCTATCAGATGATGTTAGAGGCCTGGCTTTTATTTTCTTGCAGTGTCACTCCCCAAAAGCATTCCCAGAAGTAGTATGTCAAAAGATTTATTTCTGCCACCAGCTCTATATTTACATAAAGCAAGTCATCTTAGGGGGAACCTCTGAAGTGTTTTAACACAGATTTGATTGCGTATATGTGCAATACTTTCATTCACATGGGCCATCATAAAGCAAAAACAAAAAAAAGGTCACCACCACCACAAGTTGCATCTGTAAACCTCAAAAGAAAAGTAAGATTGAACCTGTGTATAAAGGTTTCTGTTCAAATGAGTGTGCAAACCACAGTTATATAGGGGAAAATGAAGCAAAACTTAATTCCCCTGTTGACTTGTGTTTAGCCTGAGGTCATGGCTAAGGCTATAATAATCTGAAGGGATTTGTTGCAGGAAGATGAGAACATCTGGGATAATTTGTTGTGAATGCAGGTTTACCTCCAGTAGCCTATAAACGGTAGTCCCGAGGAAACATGGGCAATCTTCTCCAATTCTCATGTTTTAGTAATGAGACCGCTTGTTCTGTACACTAGTTATCTCACATCATATTTACATGGGAAATGTCTGCTTATAATCATGTCCTCAGCAAACTGGAAGGCGTGTGTTGAAGCAGAGAGGTTAGATAATCGGGATGACTTGACTGACAACACACTATGGTATGCAAACAGCTGTGGTAAGAGCAGGAACTTTCAGTGCCTTCTCCTGGTCTGTAGAAGTATGGCATAAATGTGTTTAAAAAATCCCATGTCCTATCCATCACTTGCTTCTGTGCCCACACAGGCACCAGCTTGCACCGGTAGTGAGACAGGAAGTAATAACAAAGTCTCGTGGGCTATTAAATAACAAGGCAGACATGATAATCAAGTGTCAGTTTATTAAAAGCAGTAAATACTGGTAGTCTTAAACTACAGGACTTTTGCATCAGGTCATAGAATCATAGATCAGTGCAGATTGGAAGGGACCTAGAAAGATCACCTGGTCCAACCTTCTGTGGGAAAGGGACCATGGATGAAATGATGTAGCACCCTGCCCAATTACATCTTGAAAACCTGTAGTGATGGGGACTCTACCACATCCCTGGGGAGGTTGTTCCACTGAATGAGTGATCTCGCTGTGCAAAAATGTCTTTCTTAAATCAAGATAGAGCACTTGTAGAATCTGCTTTGTTAAAAGTGAATACTGAAGTACTTCTGAGATCATTTGTGATCCTGATGTTTTCCACTTCTTGTTTAGATGAGGAATATCAAGCTATCAGATTTCACTGAGTCTTTGAAGAAGATAAAGCGTAGTTTGAGCCCTCAGACCCTGGAAGCATATATTCGCTGGAACAAGGACTTTGGAGATACCACAGTGTGAAACCCTACTTGAAGTGAAACAAAGTGCTGCCTAAGGAGCAATTGCTACAGACTACTGGAAGGCAGCCAGTTTACAGGACTTTACAGATCTTTCAGTATCTGCATTAAAACTTGAGATTAAGAAAAAAAATTACACAATGTGAAATGTGTTCATCAAAGCCTCCTTGCCATTTAGTGAGGATTTACACACTGTAAGTAAGAGCACAATAGGATGTGAGATAAGGTTCCTAGCAATCCAGTTATGATTTGAACAATAATACGTATTTTGTTTCAGCTAGAAGGCACTGATGGTATTGATCATTGGCAGACCTTTTCCTTATGTTGTGTTTGTGTGTGTTTGTTTTTAATTTTGCCATGACATCTGTGTCTGGCTTTCTTCCTTTGAACTACTAACTTACAATTGGAGGTTTGTAAACTTTGGTTCGGTTTTTGACTTTTTTTTTTATTATCCTTAATGTGCCAAATAAACCAATTTCCCTTTGCAGAAAGGAAGAACAGCACTGGGGAATTATGATTATTAAAGTGTAAAAAGCAGCTGGTCTGTTATTATTCGTCTTTTTATTTAGTTGAAATGTGGCTGTGTTGTTCACAGAACAGTTTTGAAGAAGACCTTTGATAGCAGAACAGCAAAAAACCCAACCTTATCAAACCAATTCAGCCTCTTTTTAAAAAAAAAATTACTAAATAAAAAAAAAAGACTAAGACATTCATTTACTGGCAGTATTTTCTCTTAATGCATTTTGTAACGTTTCCATTGGTAGAATGTTAGCTTATGCTTAAGGTGTGCAACTTGAAGCCCAGCTGATGTTTGAGAGTAAGTGATGCTAATTGTCAAGTTTCAGAAATTACGTGTTTCTACTCTGTATTTTGGTCTGTTTATGATAATTGAAAGTAAAATTTCCATTGTGTTAATTTTTTTAATCTCCACATGTAAGCATTAAAATATGAGGCTACATGTTTAATACATGGCACACATTAATGTTTTTATAGCTTTCCTATGTTTTGGTTTATATATTAAAGTATGAAACACTCAACTGATCTGCTTTTTTAAAAAGAAACTGAATCTTTGTACAAATACTTGTTTTTATTATATAAATGACAAGCTATTAAAAAACACAAGTAATAGCCTTTAAATATTGTAATAAAGGAAGACATCTTTGCCTTTACTTCTAAAGGCCTGACAACTTGTTTACAAATTCTACATGGATTAAACACGGATGTTGGCAAGGCGGATTTCCAGTTCCTTGTTAGAACAGGTTTGTGGGTTTTTGTTGGGTTTACTTTATTAACTTTTTTTAAAGACAACCAACTCTCCCAATGTAGTGATATTACAGAAATGCATATCATTTAGAGTTTTAACTAAACTGAGTTATAAGCTTTGTTTGCTTCTGTTTTTAACAGAAAATTTTGTCTTAATTCATCATTTAATTTATTTTTTATTGATAAGAGTAAGTCAAATGTTTCTGGGACTATTCACCTGAAAGTTGACTATAAATAATATATAATATATATATATATAAAAGCACATCCCTAGCTGATAGATGCAGTATAAGTGTAGTAATACCTAGAGAGGACTCTGCTCACTGCATAGTATTGAGTATTAAATAGCAGAAACTGTTGAACTTTTGAGGTACACAGATGCAAAGTTTGGGATTCTGTTCTTTTGAACCAGAGGTGCTTTTGACTGATGTTAAGATTAAAAGCTATTAAATATGATGATGTTACTCTAGTATGCCTTTTGAAATGGTCTAACCAAACCCCTTCTTAGCCTTCTAAGCATACGACTCTCTCAAATTTATGTCTTACATAAATGACACATGTGACTCCTGTTCCCCTGATACGCTTTTTCTGGGGAAGTGAGAAATGCTAAAAGATTTCAGTCTTAAATCTTAGGCTTGCTTGCTTTATTTTAGTTCTGCCTCCAGCAGACCAGCTCCATTGTTGGAGATTTGTGGTTGACTTGATCCATGTTTGTCATAGATTTCATAGTGCTGCACATGAATATTACTGTTTTATTAGCATCTGCCAAATAGTTAAACAGCTAGGAAAGGCCCTTGGTGGTCTTATACATAAAGATCCTTTGCAAATAACAATTTTGAAATTTGAACTCTTCTGGGTTTGAGTATTCCTACGTACTTATCAAATTCTGTTTACCTAATTCTGAGGAATATACTGGTATTTATTTCAAATACATAGGTGTTGGCATGAAGTAGGTACCTGTAATGTTGAGTTCTCATCTGCTAGGAGACCACCAGTATGCCACAGAAAGGCTAACTTTGAGCTGCTACTTCAGAAAGAAAAGAACTAGCCCTGGCACATGTTTGTACATCTAGTTCTGATCAAGAGACTCTGTGTGGCTGCTACCATCAATGGCTTTTTGATTATCTATTCTATCCTGATTATTTTCTGCATAATGAATGAACTGCAACATCAGTTTGCCCTACATCTGCCCTACAGATTTTTAGCCCATGACCAAGTGCTGTTTTGTTCATAGATAACCTTTAAATGTCTGCCTTATGCTATTTTCTGAATAGTGTCTTTTAAGGGTAATTCTGTTCCACCTAAGACATTATATCGCATCTTCTGGTTTCTTGATTTACATGTACTAACTACCAGCTCAGTAATTTTTATCTAGGTGTTGGATTAACTGTGTATAAAGGAAGATTTGAAAGAAAGAACCAATCCAAAAATACACACCACTACCATCACCCCCCTCCCCAGAAAACACCCAATTACCTGTATTTGATATTTTATATAAAGCTTTGCAACTATAGTTACCATAAAATCAGATTGTTTTAAATGCAGTATCTTGAATTAGGATAAACAGGACAGTGGCTTGGAGGCTTTTAACCTTTGCAAAGAGTGGCACTGCATTTGTTATCTAAACTGCCTCTTTTTTCTTTTTTCTTTTTGTGAGTCTCATTATTAATGAGTGACTTGACCCACTTCTTTGCAATGATTAGGAAGCAGCTTGTCTGGCAGTCTGCTACTGTGTTTTACTGGCAATGTAGCGGTTACTGGAGGGAGGGATAAAAACCAACCCAAGCCTCCAGGTTTTTTAACAACCTTCTTTATACATCTTGGCCCCTTCTATTAAGCAGGAAACATATCATCTTTTTGTGCATTGGAAGAACATGCAGAATGCTGCTTGGGCTGTGTTGCTGCTTTTGGTGGCATAACAGGAAGGAAAAACTCAAGCACTGTGCGATCCTCTTTCTCCTAAAATGAGAATTTGTTGTCATGATGTTCCCCTTACCTAAGGTTGACTTTTCTATAGCGTACACCAAACCTGTACAGGTTCCCTACTTGTAGCTAAGACAAGTAAGCACTTGTCAGTAAACACTAAAACCAACACGGAATATTGAACATAAGCCTTAAACTAGGATATTTATGCACTTGTAAGTCTGTGTCCTGTTAGTTTCTTAGATTTTACACAGTTCAGTGTATTAGAAATAAGGCATTCTGTCCTGAAGTGTCTTACTACTTTAGAAAGTCAGTTGCTAATACAGTTTTGTTTAATATGGTCCTGCAACTTACTTTATGTAGATAATAGATGTGATAGTAACACTTCAAAATTGAGAAGAATGGGGTGTCTCAAAAGAGGAAGAATTTGTTGTCACTGCACTAATTAGAGGCTATTGCAGATTTCACTGTTAAGATGCTCTCACATGTTTTAAAATGACAGATTTTATACTTATAGAATTAACCTTACCTTCTGGTGTGGAATAAATAGTTTTTCTATTCTAAACAAGCATTTTTTAGCACTTGGCACTGCTGCCAAGTTCAGCTTGTGAAATTGAAGAATTCACTGGGAATACTCACGTGGGATATGCTGGCAAATTTAACTGTGATGTCTGTTCTACAACCAGTATGGAAACCAGCGTTCTACTTGGTGCTTCCTTAACCACACATGTGAAACTTTGTGCCCTAGGTTCTTACAGTGCTTTCCTACCCAAGAGATGGATAGTGCATTGTTGCGTTTAAGGTGTGCTTATCTGGCTACTCCACTGCTTTAGTGATGCTTCTGTGTGTGGCAGCTTTGGGAGATGGCAGGCGCTATGGTAGGTTACAGATTTTCATTCGTTGTCTGTGGCCGTCTCAAGCATTTGTTGTGTTTTTAGTTTTTGGGGACTTCTACCAGATATACAGAATAGAATGAAAAGTATCAAGCAGGTAGTGAATGCAACTAGTTATCTCAGTCATAGTGCTATTTAGAGGCAGTTTCTGGTTTCATTGTTAGGTTCTCTGGAGCTGCTTTGTAGTGTTGAAGGATGTTGTTTTACTCACCTGTGTGAATTTTCATGATCTGCTGGTCATCCCAAGAAATGACCAAAGGATCAGTTATGTTCTTTTGGAATCTTTCTTTAAATATTCTTTCAAATATTTTTTTCTTTCAAATATTGTAACTATAATCCCACAGGATGAGGAAGTTGAACTGTTGCTTCCTGCAAATACAGAATCATCCTCTGAAGTATGGGGAAATATGTATTATGTTTTTCCTGCTTCTCATGTAAATCGTTAACCGTCTTAGAGTGGAAATTGTTTACTTTGTCAAGAACTACCTCCTGAGTTTGGCAATAATTGGCAAGTTACACACTCCAGTGGATTAAATATATTGGCTAAACACTGGGTTCTGCAGAGCTCGATCTTTTGATTTGCAAATTCTTGACATGATGTCTGTAAACTACAGTGATCAACCTTGTTTTGCTATAAGGCTCTCCTTACCTTCGTAAGATTCACTTCTTAATCCTGTTTCAGAGAAGTGGGTTTGAGGAAAAAGGTCATCATTCTTTGTAGTTGGTTAATAGAGGTGTATTCTTCTGAGGCTAGGCTTGTAGACTCCCAGTTCTGTGAGTTCTTTATCATTAGGAGTGGGGAAGTAAGTACTTTATGTAATAGTCGCATACCTATCAAAGGGGCTGGAAATACAGAAACAGGTTTTTGCCACATGATTCTGATTTTTATTCATGTGAAGGGCTAGCCCTTTCAGAAATCTGGATTAAAGTGACAAAGACCAAAGGTGGAGACAAACCACTAAACCCCACCCCCCGTTGAATATATTGGACTACTCCAGTCTGGGATGGGGTTAATTCTTGTATTTTGTTGTTTTGAAGCACTTTTGTTTCATGTTCTTTTAATAATGTTTTCTGAAATGTTAAACACCATTTTCTTAAAAAGCAATGTAAAGCAGCATGACGAGCAGTCACATAGTTTTAGCTTCACAATAAAATATTTCATTTGTCCTGTTCTTCCTGTTTTTTTGTCTGTCTACCAGATAAAATGTCCAAACTAAGACTTTCTATTACACCTGAAGCCTATACTGAAAATAATAAAAATAACCCAGGTCTTGTATACCAGATGATGGAACAACAAATATGTAAATACCTCATTTAGTTTCTAATGGACATAATTCAAGGTCTTAATGTAAACGGTAGTGCTACTTCCTAAATAAATGTGCTGAAACTGAAAGTCTGCTTATCCTAGCCCTGCTGAATGACCATGAAAACCAGGAGATTTCATTCTGGCAGTCATAGTGAAGCTCTGAAAATAGCTATTTGAAGCCAGTTTACATAGACTCAAAGTGGCAGCTTTTCTTTTGCTGGGGGAAGAGTTCTGCTATTATTTTTGAGGTAACAGTCTAAATTCTAAGGAAACCAAATAAAACCAATTCAGCAATCGGGGAAAAAAACAAATGCAAAACAATGTTTTGGACTGAAGCATGAGAGCTGTTACTGCTTCTGTCAAGCATTAATTCCTTAGGTTAGAAAGATACTATTGTTGTCTGTGCAGTATAATTATCTAGGGCCTCTCTTTGGCTGAAATACTACTGCTTGGAGGTAGATTGTGAACCACTGAACTGATTTCAATTAGCAGTTCTGTGTATGGGTTACAGATATTCAAATAGACTTCTATTTTTGTAGAGGAGAGAAGCTTAGATAAATTTAGTAAAGCAGCAAGAGCCTGAAAACGACATCCCAGAGCTTGCTATGTTGAAATCTACAGAGCTTACCAATTTGGCAGCATACCCTGAAGT